GAAATACTCAGACTTTACTTGTTTTCTTTACATACATAAAATTCAAAAATATGCCTATTGTATCCTCAGACTTGAAAGCAATGTTATAAACAGTATATTATTTCCACAAGCACTATGTAAACTAAAAAAAATAATACATTTATTTTTTCATTGTCTTTATACTGAAAAATTAGAAGTAAGGGCAAGAAAACAGTAATTAAAATCAGGTTCTTATGAAATCTGATGCCTTTTAACTAGATCTTTTCCAATCATTTCTACTAATAAGTTACAAAACAGGGAAGTTAATCAATACAAAGCAGAAAAGAAAATATTTAAACTAAAAAAAAAAACAGACCTTTTCTTTCGGCTGAAGTATTTTTTTTAATTATTTTTGATAACTTTGCAGATACCTCAAATTCCACTGACATTTTTCATTCAACACTAGCAATGTTATGTACACTGTCTAAGTTTATATGACCAAATTACTTTTTTGCCTGTTTAAACGTGACCTGTGAGTAAAAGAGGGCCATTTCCCTCTAATGCTAGAAGCAGAAATGTTATCCTACCTAAGTATTTATTTCTAGGAGAAAAAAAAGAGCAAAAGAAAGAAAAATAAAATTGGGTTTTCATTCCAGTTCCTAGAAGGTGAGATTTTACATTGCAGTTGCACATTTGGCTCAGGCTGGCATATTTGTTGGCACAAACTCAAGGCTTAATGAGGCTTGAGAGAATCTTACAGCCTCCATAACTGGATGCTAATGTTGTTGAGCCTACTGCTGGATGTACGTAAGGTGTGTCATTTGTGCACCCCAGGCCCCACGAGAACATAAAATAAAAGAGCATTTGTTGTATTGCTGACTTCCAAATCACAAAGGCTCCATAAAATCCATGCCAGTTTGGGCAGCAGAGGTTCCCTGGGGAGAAGTAGCCCATCTTCCTAGAAAGATCTGTTAATGCCCTTCACTGTGGTGCTGCGTGTGAAGGGATTGCTGTGCTTTACTCCCTGCTTGGTTTTGAGGCACATGCACCAAATCTCTGCTTCTTCTCTGAACTTCCCCATAAACAACCCTCTGAGACTGAATCCTTATGCCAGCAGGACAGAGGAGGAAAGCATATTATTTCTTGTACTTTTGCACAGAGGATCCTAGATTTTCTCAAAGCAGCCTTGCTAGGCTGGAAATGCAGAGATGGCATAGTGCAGGCATGACTGCGTGCAGTGTCACAGTTTATCCACAGTTTATCAGTGGATAAACTCATTGTTTTGAACTTGGGCTGGGGATGCTTGCATACCAAGGCTGTAGCTTATGAAACCCTGCAAGGTAAAGATAATTCTTGGTTGTGTTGAACCTTTCAGTAATAAGTGGTTATGTGAGTCTGCAAATAGGAATTAATCATATTTTGAGAAGCTTCTGCTAAAAATGCATAAATTTCAGTAACATGTGCATCAAACATCCTTATTAGTATAAGATGTCTACCAGGGAAGTCACTTATATTAGGATTTTATCTTACATCTCAGGTATTATTATATTCCTTAGGGATATAGGAGAGTCTTGCTGTTTTCAACATTGTGATACCAGTGAATTTGAATTAAGGAGTGATGAAAGATTGATGTTGAGTGATTAAATAAGACATTTGGAGGACTACCTGATGAGTGCATCTAGCTCAAATATCCTTATGCAGGTTGGACAATTTGGGTATAATAGACTGTGTGATATAACTACACCTTCCTGGGTTCCCAGTCTCTAATAAGTGTAATTTGTTTTGTTCTGGCCAACATATTGAGTTTTGTTTTACAAAGGCTTTTGTGATGTCAATAATAGATATTGCAGAAATATTTTGTTATTTCTTCTGGGAGAACATAACTTTTTAAAAATAATACTTGCATTAGCTTTTTTTGTGGTGAATTAGTAAGATAATTAAAGAAGGTGTTAAACTGTCTAATTTTCAGTAAGCTGTCCACTGTGTACAGAGAAAACTCCCAGTCAATAGGATCTCCAAAATGTGCAGTTCAATAATGCACATGGTTCTGTAAAGAGAATTCACTGAGGCTTTTATCTTTTCATTAAAATAACCTGTCCTCTAAGATCAGATTTCTTACACTAGGGATCAAGTTGGTTTTGGTTTTATCCCTGAGGAAAGGCAAAACTAAATTCAGTGACTGATGAAAAAAATGATGAGCAAAGATTATTCTTCTGTCATTAAGGATGAAAGTTACTTGCATATTGTTTTATTGTCAGACAAAATTGTTAATATTCAGAGAGGTGTCTACATCATCATTCTCCATATAGGGTTTACTGCTTTCAGTGTTTGGTTTAATTCCTAAAGTATGGAACAGAATTTGCTCTGAATGTCAGTAAATGTTTACTCGATTTTTTAGCAAAAACTTGGAGATGAATGGAACGTGGAAGACTATACAGCTTCTTTCCACCCACTACTTCTTCCAAGTAATAACACACAGATAGTAAATCTTTACAAAATCAAATTTTCTTGGGGGATTGTGTGGCAAATTTTGTTACATGAAAATTTGATTAGTTATAAATTCCCTCACCACTTGCTTGAGTAGCCCGAAGAGTCTAATAAACTGTAAGCTTCAGCACTAAAAGAAATAAAACTAATAAATCTGTATGAAAGTATTTTTTCATGGCTTTCCTTCCTCTTATGAATGGCATTGAGTTTCCATAGTCTAGTAATGTGTAAGGTGTTCTGCTTATCAGCAGCTTGATGGAGATAGATTACCCTTCAGGAACCTTAAAAAGAATCATATCATTGCAAAGAGGTTACAATTTAAAGAAAATAATGGATTTTAATAAGTTAAAGTCATGGAAATCAAGTATCTGTCACTGATTTTGTCTCTTGCTTAAAAACAGTCCTCATGATTATGATTATCTTTTATGTCAGTCACAGTGTTTTCACTGTCCACCCCTGTCAGTCACTGAAGCGATAAGGAGGGACATTATTTTGTGCAATCATTGTGCTCACATCTACCCTATGCTGGGCAGGAAACTCTCCCAGTTTATCTGTGCTTTCCTAGAATATCAAATGGGCAGTTATGAGAAGCTTCAGTTTCACCTTACAGCTGCCAAATATTGTGGTAAGGTTAATAATGCCTCCAGGAAAAGGGATGAACACTGACTTCTCAGGCTGGTTGTAAAAGGTCAGTCTGAGAATTTCAGAGTGGGCAAAGGTACTGTGTGTTAATGGCACTATGCTGGTGAGTCTTCCAGGTGCCTTTGAAAATCCTAGCTAAAAGCTTACAAGGAGGATTTTTTTAAATTAAATAAAACAATTGATTTTTCAAGCACTGAAGAAAGACTTCTGAAACTACTGTAGACAATTTTCATGTATATTTAACAAGTAGTGTTTCAGTTTAAGCTTTTAGGCACAGATTGTAAATCTTGGTTGTATGTTTATCTTTTGTTGAGGGACATATGAAATAGAAATATTATTTGTATTTTTTTTAATATTACCATAAGTAAATGCATGTAGGCAATTCAGCTCGAGAAAGCTGTTGCACATCTTTCAGTAACTGAGGATATTTTTCATCTTCCTATGAAACTATTTAGCAATCATGATAAAAATTAAATGGAGCTATATATCATATTTATCAATGCAAATTATATTCTGATAAATATTTTTCAATCTTTAGATATCTGATAGAATCCCAGGACTTCAGGCTTTCCTTTTAAAAATTGCTCTCCAAATAATTTTCAAAGAAAAAAATTATACTTTCAGCTAAATATGATTTTACAGAAGCTGCATACTTAGGAACACATTTTTTAGCACACCTTTTTTTTTTTTAAACAGAGCACATATCCAGAAATATTTGTTTTGAGAGTTTTGTTTTCCAAAATAACAATAGTTTTAGATTACTAATTTTATATAAGACATCTACTGTTTTCTGTAGGTAACAAATGAGCAAAAATGTTGCTTTTAAAAATCCTAAGCTTTAGCAACAGTGACAAGCCATATTGTCCCAGACAAAGTTTGCAACTAACAACTGTGGACTCAATTCTTAGGTTTATGAATAAACATTATACCAGAGCTTCATTTTCATATGTACTGTGTATTTGCCACCCTTTTAGTGTCACGGGGAACACAATTCAATGCTAATGTTAATGAAGTAAGAAAGCATAATTATATGTTAAATATTTTAATAAAGATAAATCGATTATTAAGGTTTTATTTTTCCATTCTCAGCTCTTGAGAAATATCCCTTCTGTTATTACTGAAAAGTAAAACAGTCTGAGTCGGGCCAAAATATATTGGCCAAGCAAAGACAGGAAGGCTGAGCTTTCTTGAAGGCAGCAAGTAATACTTATATTGCAGATGCTTATACTATTCCTGTAACAGGCCTGATCCTGCACTACTGAGATCAAAGGATGTTTTCACTTCACTTTATTGAAGAAAGTTTTATGTTGAAAAGTAGAACTAGTTCTATAGTTCTGGTAGTTTGGTCCAAAGCCCATAAACAAACAACTGAATAAATGGACACATTTAGGCTTGACTAAATAGTTTTGTTTTATTTTTAAGTAAGACATGTATGATGATGAACCAAATAAACTTTGACCTTGAAAATGATAAAAACCTATTCTTAATGAAACCCCCTGTAAGGAAAAGAAAGTAAACTGTTCTTGCATAGTTTTCGTTGATCTTGCAGTCATAAACTTCAAAATGTATTGAACACATTGACTAATTCAATAAGTTATCTTCCTTAAAAGCCAAAGCTGTAAATAATTATATCCATTAAAATAAGAATTAATTAGACGAATGAATAATAGCATTGCCCGATTTTTATGAGCTATGTCTATCTACTTAATGTACAAAAGAATTGTATTCAAATTGGGAAAAGAAAATTTGTTTTAATTCAACCATTATATTACTAGGTAGTGTCTAATGAGGGTTTTTCTTCTCTTACTGACACCATTTATGTCCAAAGATGTGTTTATTTAGAAAGAAATGCAGTTGAGAAGCAAGAAAGGTGACTGAATCTCTTTGTTAAGTAACTGTCTTTACTATTTCAGAGCTGCAAGAAACTAAGACCTCTGAATATCACAGAATATCCCACAGTCCCCTGGATTACCGGATATTATTAATGGATGAAGATCAGGATCGGATCTACGTGGGCAGTAAAGATCATATTCTGTCTTTGAATATTAACAATATAAGCCAGGACCCTCTCAGTGTAAGTTTGAGTTTTATTTTGAGAATCCGAGGTTGCTTTATTACATGCCTTTGTTTTTAAGTCAAAAAAACATGTATTTCATTATTTTGCATGAAAGTCCAGGCCCACACCTTATTAGACTGTTAGTCCTGGTTTCACGTGTAACACAGATGAAGCTGTTCCTTGAACACTGTTTAAAACTGACCTGTTTACTAATTTTGAAGCAACATTCAGCTTCTCATAAGGAAAATTTGTATGGTTTGATGCTTTCCACTCCTCTCCAAGATAAGATAAGATAGTTCAGAGATGCACTGTTAAAAGGAGCCTGTAAGTAAGAATAAGATACACGCTGTCGTTCTCAGGCCATAGGGAAAAAGACAAGGACAGAGTTGCCTTTAATCTTCAAATACATTTATTTTTGTTTTGTACTCTGGAACCTAATCGCTGAACTATTTTCCAGTCTCTTGTTATGTCTGTTGTCAGCCCTTGCCTTTCAGTTGGGTAACTGAGACACCTCATTTGGGTTTTTTTATGCTTTTGAAATAGGTGACCTGTAGAAGTACTTGTGTGCCCAGAAGCTTGACTGTTAAGCTCTTACCTCTCTACAGACTTTGTCTTGCCTATCTTTAGACTACCAGAGCTACTACACTGCCTTAAAAAGTACCATAAAGGCCTTGTTCCACCAAATCCATCCAATCCTTTAATCTATGGGCTTTATTACTATACCTCAGAAGGATTGAGGAGCAGCAATACCCAGCTTGCAGCAGGGAAGATAAATGCTTTCCTTGAGAGACAAGGCTTTTAATGTGTCAGGGGAGAGAGAAGGTCCCTGCCAGAGAATGATGGAGCACAGTTAAATTAGGCTTTGCTCTGAATCACCCTCTGGACGTGCCTGTCTACCTGAATTGATTGTGCAGGGAGCCCGGGGAGGCTCACTCTAACTTACACATTTAAATTAAATGCCTCTCGTTCAATGGTGTGAATGCATCCTTCCCTGCTTCTGATGGTACCAAAATCTCCTTCTGAAACAGGGCTGCCTTCTCTGATCTGAAATAGCTTCTGTGACCTTTTTTGCTAAGTCTCATCTCCCCAGTGATCCAGCCACCCCTGTTTGGGAGGAGCTGTGCCCCCGCATGACACACTCTCTCCTGCCTATGGCAGGTCCAGTTCAATTCTGATAGGAAGGCCTCTGTTGCATGAAATATTTTCTGCAGTATAAAGCTGTGAGGCATTTCAACAGCCTGGAAAAACAAAAATAAAAAAAGTCAACAGAAAGGAAAAACACACAAAGTTTTCTGGCAGTGAATGTGTTCACCCAGTATTAGGCTCAGAATGAATCTCTGCAATTCCACACAGTCTTCTGGTTGTTTATTTATTTTTACGGCAGATTCACTTTGCTGATCTTATACCTCTGTAGAAATCCTGTACATATATGCATTCAAATCCACAATTCTACATATGTATGTATATATGTACATAAACAGAGATCTTTTAATGCTGTTGTTTATGTTACCTTGAGGCTAAATGTTATCAGGCTCTGTCACTTACTAGATTTCTAGGGATAAATTTCTAATGGATGTCTTTTCTATTTCAAAATCAAAATAAATAATGGAAGAAGCTCAAAATATTTAGAGTTTTATTATAAAACAGATAAACATTCAGACATTGCGATGTTTGTTGGAAAACTGTGTGAACAAAATCAGTCTGAAATCCTGAGATTTCAAGCAGGTTATATCATAATCTATCCAAACTTTTGATGATAAAATCAAAAAATTGTTACAAGAACCCTCGTTGCACTGTTTTAGCCTTCTGGTTTCTAGTGTGCATAATTTCTAAAAGTTCAGTAAAAGCAAAAAAGTAAAGATAGTAATTTAGGTAATAAAGGTGAAAAATCTCTCTTATTTAGAAGAAAAAAATCTAAATAAAATTATTAACTTGCCTTAAAAATATGTAATAAACTTAGAGCCAAAGACCTGAACCTTTATTTTGTTTCCTGCATGCTAAGACAAAAATATTTTCATGTATCAATGAAAATTCTTTTTTTCCTTATAATGAAAGTGTAAGATATCCAAATATTAAAGTATTAGTGTAAGTTATACAGTGAAATGTTTTGTTTAAATTATGTGAAAAATATACTACTTGAATGACACTTCTTTCTTTGCAGATTTCCTGGCCAGCATCAGCAAACAAGGTTGAAGAGTGCAAAATGGCTGGCAAAGATCCTACAGTAAGTTATAATCCACATGCACACATATACACAAATTACGTACTTGGCAATAAAGTAAGAGCACCTTGAGTGCAGCCAAAGCAAAATGAAAGAAGTGTTTGTTTAGCTTTCGGAATGCTTTGCAAGCCTATCTATAAAGTGAAATTCTGGAGAAGCAGTCAATGTAAACAGACTGCACCTTCAGACTTTGACAGATGGGAAAAGATATGCAGTGTCCGCTTTCTCATTTTTTTTGTTGTCACTAATCAAATCAGGTAATAGTACTTTTCCAGATATGTCCTGGGTGATGCTCAACAGCCTGGTGAGCTTTTCTTTGGAGTGGGGAAGTGCTCTGGCTGGCTGCTTGCCCCAGGAACAGACTTTGAAGGTGGATGGTACCCACTATCTGCAGTCTGAAGACCCCAGTTGAGCACCAGCTTTCAGATGCTGTAGTGTGGTATTGGCTCCTGCTGTACCAAAAATGTGAATGCCTCTAAATGTAAATAAACCAGTGCAGTCTGCTAAACAAGGATTAACTCTACTGATTTTCATGAAGCTGACTGATGACACAGTTTCTAATCCTGTGCTCATAGAACTCACGCAATTCTCACTGTCTTTGGTGAGGTTTGGATGATTGAATATGAAAGTCATTCCAGGATCTTGGTAAGAAAAAGATATCCAGAAAAAAAAATTTATTTTCAACCTATAATGTGTTAACAGTTGATCACAGTTCAAAATAAAAGAGGAAGAGAAGAAAGGGGTATGCTGGAAGGAGAAAACTGTAAATCTGATGGTGTGAAACTGTGTGGCCCTTAACGTTCTATTCTGATTTTCATGCTGATTTGAAGATGTTACTGTAGGTCTTTAATACAAAGCAACAATTCACTGCAAACTTTTTTTTAAAGTTTTGGAGAGAAAACATTTATACAAATAACAGGATCTGAGATTTGGGCTTGCTTGCTTTGCTTTTCAATAATCTCCATCTATGATGAACAAATTGGAGGCAAAAAGAGATTGTTTCAGAGGTGTCCTTAAGGAAACTTCCTAAGGTTACTTCTTGTTTTCCTGCAGAAGTCCTGCTTCTTCTCATGCCAGGTACAGAGAAATCTGTGAATGAAAATTGGTTTGCTTTGTGGAAGTGGGAAAGTTACACGAGCTCCTCTATAACCACTGTAGTGCCTTATCAGTGCCCAGTTCCCAGACTAGGCAAAATGGCATGAAAAGAAAGAGAATCTGCAGCTGTTCAAATCCAGAGACTAACAAACTCAGTAGCTGTTTTCATGATACTATGAAAATTATAAATCATGTCTTTTCCCTGGAGTTCCCAACATCTAGTAACATTTGCCAGTGTGAAATTATTGCTCTCTGTACTTCCTGCAGCATGGCTGTGGAAACTTTGTGCGTGTCATACAGTCGTACAACCGCACACACCTGTACGTCTGCGGCAGCGGCGCCTTCAGCCCCGTGTGCGTGTACGTCAACAGGGGACGCAGGTCTGAGGTGAGTCTCTTCTCATTTTATCCACTCCCTTTTCACATCCTACTGGTGCGATGTGAAAAGTCAAAATACTGAAAATGCAAAAAGAATCAGTGATCCGAATAGGGTCATTCACCCATGTTAAATAGCAAAAGAGCAAAGGTCCAGAGTTTACTGATGTGTTACCAGCTAGAAGCAAAGCCATGATCAAAAGCCGTGCCTGAAATATGATGGTTGTCCAAAATTCCACAGTCATACCAAATGCTGGGCAACATTTGATACTACTTTTTATTTGACATTTTCTGGTGAATTCATTCCTACCATTTGGTGGGGAAATGCCCAAGAAATACTTGAAAGGAACTAGCCAGTAAAATATACAGTCCACTTTTTATAGCTCCCATGTGTTACTGGTTCCTGGGAGAAGCCCTTAGTTTGGATAACTATTCAGGGATGCAAAAGTTTGCTGGACTTCAGCTTAACACCCACTAGATGCAATCCCAGTACCGGAACTTTATCTACTGCACAAATTTTGACCCACAAGATTCTGCCCAGATGAAGTTGGAAAGTTTCACTTCACTGTGAGATCTTACTTTTTCTAGACGAGTCTCCAGTTTTTCTGTATTCAGTTTCACTGTTCATTTTCAATATATAAAGTACCAGATGTTTCAGAAGTATATGGTCCAGTTTTCCTGATTTGAATGTGAAATGTTTGTTTATGTGCAAATGTAATAGGTAATAAATTTAGTAACCAGAAGGGAAAAGAAAGGCACTTATCAAGAGGCAGCACCTTAGTAGCTTTCAGGTCATGTTCATGTCTGGAGGCACAGGGGTGTGCAGTATATTTTCCTGAACAATGTGGAAGCAGATGTGCTGGGAAGGAAGATCAGAGCGTCCTACCTGGAGTGTTGCCATGTGAGGGCAGCTTTAAAAGCTGGGCTGGCTTCTTGGGAAGACACTGGGAAATTCATCACTGATTTAATTGGGAGTGGGACGGGAATTCTGGCCAAGACCCAAGGTACTGCATAGGTTGCCAGGGAGGTGATAAGTCAGTGTCTCTCCAGATCGGTTTGCACAGGATGATCTCAGTGACTTTTGGTAGATCCCTGCCTGGCTCCAGCCTCCTTAGCAGAGTATGCAGACTGAATCACTGCACCTTCAGTCCTAAAAAATTATCCAAAACTAGAGATTTGTAGGCCTGGATTTAAAAGTGCGAGTAAACAGAACTGACTAAGTAAATCCATCCCTTAGGTTAATGAATTTGGCATTAACTTTTTTTGATGTATTTTGAAACAGGGGTCACGTTTCCTCAGCATCATCTTATTTCTTGAGAAAGTATTTAAAATATAAGAAGTGATATCATTTGTCTCTAATGAATGTAATATTCCTTTATTATCATAACCTGCAGCCCAGAGAACTTTGAATCGCATTATTTCAGAGTTTTTTTAAATGAGATTGGAACAGAGGGGAATGCAGGAAACGACATCTCCAGATGATGCAATATGTTAAATTGTTTAAATGAAAAGTAAAGATACGTGATTTGGAAAAGAACTGACTTCACTTAGCCTGTCTGTATAGCTACATGCCTATATCAATTGATTAAATAAACTGCTGTTTGAGATGTCTGGAGTCTGTGAGACACTTGACTGTAGGCATTGCATGCTCAAAGCCATTATTGTACAGGCCAACAATAGCATAACAGTTTAGAACCAAGAATTTCCTTCTGAACTCATTGCATATATCTGTGCATGACTAATTAATAGAGCAGAATGAAGAACTGTGTAGTTTTGATGGGACTAGTGAGAACTCATTTTTTTCTCTGCTTTTATCATTTCACCTTTAATTTAGTACAGTTTTCCACGCAAAGAAGGCTGTTTTTGCACGTGCAAAATGAATATTTTACAAAGCACATCTGTTTTTCTCTAGAAGCTACAAATTCTGACAGTCATATCCAACAATCATAAGAACTGGGCCTGTTTTGCTCTTTTGTCTCCAGGATTCTACATAAGCTCACAAAAAAGGGGGATTCATTGATGAGGCAGAATTTTTACCTTTTCCCTGAAACAGAGGTTATACAACAATTAATTTTCTTCCTTGGCACACTTGATACTTTGCTCTTTGGTAATTACTCAGTCACCCAAATGTCAAAGTAAATGCAAACAGAAGGAAATGTAATCCTGTGTGACATAATTATAGACTAAAAAGTAGTTTAATATATATGAAAATCAAGTGTAAGCCTGGAGCTAGTTTAATAGAGCAGTAATGGGCATTTTGAATTGGTAAATAGTGGTATAATATAGTAAATATGGATTAAAATCAAGCTGCATATTAATCTAGAAGTGGAACAACAACAAAAAGCCACCCAAGATCATGTTATAAACTTTAAACCTATGTTTTAACATTGTTTAGAGAGCTTATTACTGAAACAATAGATAAGATCTCTGTGATTAAATTAGGCAAAACAGAAGAGGGCAAAAAGAGAGGGGATAATGGATATGAAAACTTCTGCTGCAGCTGTGCATTTGAGCTTGATGAAATCTCCAATTTGCTGGTGCCAAATGGCTGCTCAGGGATTTGTGTGGCATCCCCCTTCCTCTGTGATTTACACTAACTGTTAAAGAGAATATAAGGAGTTGCTGTCCTTTGTCAAATAACTAATACATTGGCATCTAGATCACAGAAGCCTTTCTGTGGAATTTTTGTCAGCTACCTTTTTATTTTGAAATTTTTTAAGTTTAGTTGGTTGGTTTTTCTTGCAACTGTGTCTTTTAGCTTTTTATTAAAGATTAGAAGTTTGTTACAGGAGCCTAGGAACAAGCTGTTTGGAGTACAGTGGTGTGTGAGTTGATGTGCAATGGATCAGTGTCTCTGTCATTAGTGACTGCAGTTTTTAAGGAACGGGCTTGGACATGAGTCACTTCTTGCTCAGCACACTGTGCTAGTATTGCTGGGAACCAAGAAGTGAAGAGTTACACCAAAATGGGCAAATATTCTAAATATACTCAGGTTATTTGTATTTCAAGCTGTAGTCCAGGTTTTGTCTACTTTGCTAAATGTGTTCCCTGTTCATAAATCACGTTAAAATATAAACAAATCCCCATACCATGATTTCTAAACAGAAAAAAAAAATTCAAGAGATTTCAGGCTATAATCATCTATCACTATGGAATTGGAGCTCTACACATTATCAAAGAGATGGTATTGAAGAAAATAAGTATGATTTAGGGGATTTTTGGGTGTCTGATAGATCAGTAAAGACCAAATGTTTTATACTATCATCAAATGACAATTTTCATAAGAAATTTGTATTTAATATGCATTATTGTTATTATTGTTCTAGTAGCTTTATTATAATGTCCTAGACTAGTGTAAGTATAACCATGTATTCAGCAAATAAATGATAAATAACTTCAAAAACGCAGAAGCAATCTCCACAGATGATATTGCAGAGATCAGTCAACATCTCCATAGCTTAATTGAGATAGAGGGAAAAATTCTTTGTTTCAGTGTCTTGAATTTAGAACGGGTCTTGAAACTAACTGGATATCAGTGAAAATCTTATCTAACAAGATGATGGAATTCTGAATAGGACAGTTAAACTGCTGGTAGTACAGTAAAAGTACCCAATAGTGCAGTGTTAATAGAGCATTGTTAATGCTGGAAACAGGCAGGCATAAAATGGTTTTACATCCGATGGTTTCTGAAATGAGAAGTGACACATAAATCTACTTTGCAGGAACAAATCTTCAAGATCGACTCCAAGTGTGAATCAGGAAAAGGACGCTGTTCTTTCAACCCCAACGTGAACACGGTGTCTGTTATGATCAGTAAGTAAAGATACTCCAAGTTGCTGAGTCTAAACCCATATGGTCATGTGTGGTCATGAGGATTAACGGAGTGCCCAAAAGGAGCTGGACACAGAATTCAGCCTCCTGAATGGCTGATGAGCGCAAGGGTTGGGTCCTTTCTTGTCTCAAGGCTAATATGAAACTAGCGGTGGGTGGACAAATGAAATGCAGAAAGACGTCTTTGAAAGGGAGAGAGAGAGAAAACAAAAGGTTGTCCCTTTTCCAGCTTACACATTTTTTCCCAGGATTAGTTTCAACTTTACATTACCCTGTCTAGCATTTATGTTTGAATGGTTTCTGACCTTGTTCATCCTAGACAGAACTTGTGTCTCATTTAATTATTTGTAAAATCTCAGAGTAGCCAGGGAAAGAAAGCCTGAAGACTTTAGATGCTATGAATTTCATTTTTGTTGTCATCTCTGCTGTAGAGCCCACCAGTTATTGCAAGGCTCTTCATTCTTCAATTGGCTTTATACCCAACCAATGTTGCAATTTTCTTTCATTTGAAAGGCCAGAAAGTGATACAACTGCTACTCCTCAAATATTCGTGTGAACTGGTGGCAACTGTACTCATTGACTGTGAGATATAGCCCAGACGAAGGATTTCTGCTGTGCTTATTAAACACCTAAGAGAAAACTCAAAGGGAAAACTCAAAGGGGGAATATGCTTTGTGCAACCTAAGTCATCTGTAAAAGATCCTTTTTTTTTTTTCAACCAGGAAGCGTGTTATATATACTCTGTGTAACCTGACCTTTCACATTTGCATCATGTTCACAGACTTACAGTGCCAAAGCCTTGATTATTCAACATGTGCCTTCTCCTTGCTGTATTTTTGGCTTTGAGAGGAACAGCAGTTGCACAGATTTTTCAGACTTTATTTCACCCAAGGTTTACAAGGGAACAATGTGCCGTGTTTCTGCCATTTGGCTTCCACTGAAATCAATGGCAATTAAATATTGTGCCAGGTATTTCCTTTAAAGTTTGAGTCTCATGGATCTTAAGTGAAGTGTCATATAGTTTATCCTACGTGGTCTGTTCAAAATGTAAATTGCCTTTTTTTTAAATTGGAAATATATTTAGTACAAAGGACAAATATATTTATTCACAGATATATGAACTAAAGCACCTTTAGAGAACAGGTAAATGCTACCTAGATGTTTCTCTGAACCTTGGCAGTACTTACACCTTTATCTCATCATTGATCTAGGGACAGTGTTTACAGATACTTGCTGCGTAAAGAAAATGTTTGTTCAAAGTCAGTGATTGATGAGTCCTCTGCTACTCATTGCTATTCTGGCATTATGAAGTGAATCAACTGTCATTAAAAAATTAAAGTTTTCTTTCCTTGTTCCTTCTGGATTTTCTGTAGCACCATTGAAGTACATTGTTTCTAAATTACTGTCTATAGAGTAAGCTGATTTTTTTCTACAATAGATCTGTGGCAGCTTTGTTCATCTTAATGGACTTTTTGTTACCTTCCTTGATCTCTCAGTTATGGGACTGAAGAGACCTTCCCTAATGTTTGACTTATCTTTCATGACATCTACAAAGTTTAAATTATTCCACAAAGGTCATATTCCTTTTAAAAAGAGTCCCGCAGATTGGGTTTTATACTTTCTCTCTGTTACTACAAAGTCCAGTCAGTTCAAAAACATTAAGCTCTAATGAATTTAGCCTCAGTATCCAGACCAGAAAAGGGATCATTTTGTAACTCACAGCTTGTGTTATAATTAGGGGACTGAGCCCATGTACTGGACTTTTCTTTGGGCATCCTGCAGGAGGGATTCCCTCCCCTTTTTTCAGAAGACAGGAAATACCGCCAGACAGGCTAGTTCTTCCAAAATAAAAGAACCATTTTTAAATATAGATGCAGTTTCTTGACCATTTTGGGCATCGCCAGCCTAGAATACAGCAGGAAAGATGATTCACCTTTCAGAGGAAAGCGGTGAAATAAAAACAAATTTGAACTTCATACAATTTGCCATTGTACAAAGACACATTTGCATCAAAGCAATAAAAAATGTGCTTTGAAGCAGCTTGGCATAACTAATGTGCGGGATGTATGTCTCTCTCCCCACCAAGACTCAGATATTTATAAAAGCAGACCTCATCAACTCAGTAACAAAGTGGTGTGAACTCATTGTGCTGTGCAGACCAAGTGCTGTGTGGAATGTAAGGGTTTTACTAGAATGAAGTGGAACTGACAGATTTCATCTGATACACGATTAGCAAGCAGACACTAGGAATGCTTAAGACATAACTAATAGCACTGATACGTAATAGGATTAATATTACATAGTACAGCACTATTGTTGAAGTGTGTACATATGTGTGTGTGCACAGAACTGTACATAACATTTAGTGATAAGCATAAGCCTGATCTCTTTCAGCTAATTCATTTCATACTAAGCATGCAGTACTGTTCGACTGAAACAAGGAGGCAAATATACAAAATCATTTATAAATATGTATAGATCCAACATCATTCTGTCAATACCTCTTAGGAAGTAAACGCTTTACCAACATGCAGCGAATGCGTTGTTTAAATCCCCTGTGTATGAACCTTGTCATCACTGGGAGAGGTGAAAGCAGAAGAGTGGCTGCTGGATGCTCTACAGGGGTTCAGTTCAGGCTCCAGTTAGCACCAGAAAAGCAAAATCTGCAGTCGTAATTCTCTCGTGAGCCAGTAATCTTCCATATTGATGTGTGAACACACACACGCACACACACACACACAAAGGGAGCATGAAAATAACCTCAAGCACTTCTGAACCTGTGACTCTTGCCAGCTTGACCACACGCTCTGGGTAGTCCAGGAATTCAGACAAAAACATCAGTCAAAGGACCCAGCTGTACTGGAATGTATTCAGCCACCACTCCCACCCTCCGAGTTAGAGTTTATTTTAGCTACTGTTTTCTGCTCTGGGGTTTCATTGTCATTAGTCAGTGGAAATTGCTTGGTTATTCACGGAGTGGAAAATGATAGTATGTGTAATTATAATTATATATACATATGTTTATGCACACACATGGACTCAAACAAACGCAGATACACATCCTGACTGATGGACTGTGTGTTCAGCCCTGCACAGAGAGCAGAAGTTCATAGTTCTGTTAATGTAGGAGTTGCGTGTCTAATTCTGTTCAAGCATAATGACCCTATACTTAGAATCAAGTACTCAAAAGGGGATAATTGTTGCTCCCTATTACTTTGAGTAAAGTTCAATAATATGATTGTCTGGCCTCTGCAATACTGAAGTCAGCTTGAGGCTGCCTGGGGCAGCTGTGACAATACTGCTGGTGTAAATTGGCGCTGATCCACTGACTGCAATAAATGTTGTGCCAGTTTACAACAGCAATAAATTCAACCCAGTCACTTTATCTACTTCCATAGCAAAAAAAGTTATCTGAAGTGAGTCCTTAAAAAATTGGATGTGATACTTTTTTGATGACACTAGTCTGATTTTCCAGTGATCCTTAGCAGTGGAAGTTGAGCTACTAAACTTCCTATCAAGAGGTTCACCATGTAAATGGTTCTGCTGTGGCATTTAATGATGTAGTTTCCTAAAAGTCTTTAAGAAAAATCTGATTCTAGTTTGTGTCTCTGTAAATCAGAGGAAACCCCATTCCCATGACCCACTATTTATCTGTATAGACTCTTGTGTAAATAAAGAGCTGATGAATTTAAAATAAACTTTTGAGTTTCCCAAAAGCCGTAACAATGCATTGAGTTTTTCCCCTCCATTTCAATTCTTTTCAGATGAAGAGCTTTTTTCAGGAATGTATATTGATTTCATGGGGACGGATGCGGCCATTTTTCGGAGTCTGACCAGGAGGAATGCAGTGAGAACTGACCAGCACAACTCCAAGTGGCTGAGTGGTGAGATGCCTTTGTTTTACCAGATCTTTTAATGGATGTCACAGAGATTCTGCTTTGCTTTGCTTAAAATAAAGCGCTTATCTTTTAAAGAGCTTGTCTCTGAATTTAATGTATGAAGTTAACCATGAAGAAATGTATGTAAATACGTGCTGTAGACAATGCACAGATGTAAAGAATTCACTGCGTGTACCAACCTCTTAGGCCACCCCACCTGAGGACCTTTTTTGCATTAAGACTGAAACAAACTGTTCAAGGGACAGTATGTGAAAACCTTTCAAATGGCGAGTGGTCAGTCTGAATTCTAGAAAAGTGCCTTCACCTCTAATGCATCACATATTGACTTAAATTAGAGTATTTGATTCTAAGGTACCAGCTTCAGTTAATTCAAGCTGATCCACATCTATGCAGAAGACTCATCACCACTTGCATTCAAAATGTGTGCAGAAGAGAGTCTCATTATCAGAGAAGTCAGTGAGGATTATTGCTACTTATTTCAGTGATAAGGAATTGGTTATCTAAACACAGTAGGAAAACTCATTTCTGAGTGGGAGCACTTAACTCTTTGCATGACTGACATCATTGTGAAAATTCTCCCTGTCTTTACTGGTAAGAAAACTCCTTCCAAATAAACTGTTCTGAATTAAAATGGTGCTTATGCCTCTGAACAAAGGTAGACGTCAGAAGTTATAGAGCGACTAACATAGCAGTTACAATATTAGAAAGCCTTCAGGTATGTTGAAGTAAAGTTACTGTGGTTTTCTCTTGGTATTTTTTAACGTGACTCTCTTTAGTTATTCCTGTGTGGCTGTGACTACAGTGAAATCATAGGATTGCAATCAGAATAAATTCAGTTCACTATGGAAGGGAAACTATGTCTGTTTTCTAAGTTTTTCTTCTGTTTGTTATACATTCTTACACTTACCTGCACACCCTGACATGTGCATCCTAAAGTGAATTAGAGAAAAAGAACAATTAAAAATGCCTGATTTCTGGAAAATCTGCCTGTTGCCTATGTTCAGAACAGGTACTTGAAAGTACAATTTATTTTCATGTCCTGTTAGAGCTGTAGTCATGACACTTGTTATATTAATTGAGAATAGGCTTATGTGAATAGAAAAGTGCTGCAGTGTAAAGGGAATTTTCTGTCAGTCAGTCAACCTTTGTATCAGACTGTTTCAAAATTTGTACTGCATTTCAACTGAACAAGCAATCTTGCATGATCATTGAAAAGACAAAGCCTTCGTGCAGGGAGAGGGTCCACTTCTTCCTTCAGGCAAAGGAGAAGGTCTTCTGAGGATTCCTCCACTGTCCATTATATGCTTGCTGTTAAGGTTATAAATTTTTTTGCTCTCTGACTAGTGCTCCTTTGCAGTGTTTTGCATGCACATTGGGTTATGTTTAACAGCCTCTGATATGAACTCAAATGCTGCTCAAGCATTTGTGTACCCTTCTTACCTTTTCTGTGTTCCACGAGTTGTTTTCCTCTCTTGTTTATGAACCTTATCTGTTATTTTCCTAAGCTGTTGCATCTTATTTTATGTTTTGTCTCAATGAGACTTTCCTTAGGGGCCCCAGATAGCACACAAATTCTTCCCTCTTCTTCCTCAAAATCTTTGAGTCTCTGCAGTAACCTAATACTACTGCTTCTGGATCACTCCTCTAAAAATCTGCTGTGGAATAAAATGCTAAGATGCAAAAACATATGGCTGCCAGCAAAGAGCCGTTTACCTGCTGATACTTGTTATATACAGACATGAAGCTAGAGCGTATAGCTTAGCCTTCCACGGCAGTACCTCTGTATGCATTACACTGCGCTTCCTTGAAGCAGCCGGTAACTGTGAAGTCATTAATTGCTTATTCTTATACATCTTTTGGTTTCATCTTTTTGGTAAATTTTTTCATTACAGAGCCAATTTTTGTGGATGCTCATGTTATCCCAGATGGCACTGACCCCAATGATGCCAAAATCTACTTCTTCTTCAAAGAGAGACTCACAGACAACAGCGGCAGCACAAAGCAAATTCATTCAATGATTGCAAGAATATGCCCAGTAAGGACTATTTTGTTTGCCAGGTTGTTGGGATAAGCCTTTGATTTATATTCGAAACAAATTTCCTGTTTCTGTGTCCACATTCATAATTAAGAAGAGCTGTTATTGAACTCACAGTTAGGGTCTCAACCTGTTATGTATATCAGGCTGTACCTGTAAGGATATGGAAATTTAGAGATTCAGGGATTTGTGTATTTCTCTGACTGAGTCAGAATACTTACCAGTGTTGAATTTTCAAACTTGCTGTCCTTGGCACAAATAGGGTACATTATTTTCTTAGAAAAACTGAACTAAAAAACAGTGAAGTCTCAAAAAATTCTCACACTCGAAATCTCTAAAGCACATGGGAAATATCAAGCTTTTAAATGGGTTGATTTAACTTTCAAATGGTGTTTTCATTTTTACAATATCTGTTCTTTCTGAGTTCTTGCATTGATGCATATGTGAGCCTAACTTTAAAAAGGTGCGCAGGAAAATTAAATTGAGGAGTTATGGCTATTCCTGAGCAAAAATCAATTTATTTTCACAGCACTCCTCATTGTCTCTGATTCGTTTTTCGTATCTGTAATCAACTGTAGATGAAAAATGATTGAAGCAGCTATTAATATCTGGTGAAATTGATATTTTTTAATGAGAGAAAAATTAAAAATGCGCGATTATTGCTAACCTATTCATTCCTTCTTTTGGAAAGGTTCAGGAAGATAATTGTGTGTTTACTTTAATTTAGGTCTTCTTTAGAATTTGATGCTTTGTGATGTTATTATGCCTGGGTGTGAGGGCATGTTTGGGATTGTGCTAAGCTCCTTCTCTGGCAATATTATGAGGCATGTGATCTCTTTTATAATCTCATTTCTCTGTATTTTTGTGAGGATGTCTGAAGGCCTTTTTGGGTATTTTGCAAGAAGACATTTTACACAATTACAGCTGTATTTGGTTTTTTACTGTTATAATGAAGCCCAGATGATTTTTGAAAGGCCTAATCCTGTTTAGACTTAAACTGAAGTCAGTGACAGAATCCCAAAGCCAATGAAAATAAATCTGAGCCAGTCATATTTGTATACTTGTATACCACCATATTCATACATCAACACCTTTGACACTGGCCAAATATATTAATAAAATGATACTAAGAAAGACCCTACAGAAAGACTCCTTATAAGTCACCTGAAAACCTGGATACCAACTCTAGGAGCACCAGTAAAACATGCACAGCACTTTATGAAAATCACATTTCAATAGCTTCTGCCTTTTGTTTTTCCCTTTCCTTGGGTGATATCATGCTGTGCAGTTTATAAGACACTGCTCTTACCTAAGGCATTCACCAGCAAGATGAGGCAGCTCTATCACCTTGGTGCTGCACCATCTGGTTTGGCAGTTACAGTTTCCACCTTGCAGCAGAGAGAAGTGGGAAGATCCTTGAGTGAGCTGTGACCAAGCCAGCTCTGGACTAGGCTAGCAGGACTTGCAACAGTGCAAAACTACCTTGACCCACACTAGCCATCATTTCTGACTTTAGAGCATCCACTTCATGCCAGCATGGGTTACTAGGTCATGCTGCTGTCAAGACTACAAAAACCATCCCTCTATAGTACTATGAGACTTTTGGAGATAGCATGGACTTTACACTGGGTGTCGATGAGTGATACAAACCTCCACAGTTGCTTGCAAACATACAAACACATTCTACTACATGCACTAAATCTACTGCCTGACTCTCCAAGCCTGCTAGCCCAGCAGAGAAAGCCTGCTCAGGAAACTAGTTCTTGTTTTTTTCCTGCATATGGACTGTTTAGATAAGGGGATTTGGTTTAGGTCTATCTACTTTTATATTAAATTTACCAGATAATTATCTGGATGATGATTTAACTTGAGAAAAAAATGGAAAAGATTGGTAAAATGTTAGTTGCGTTGTACTTTTTTTTTCTGAAAATAATATTCCTTTCCAGAATGACACAGGTGGTCAGCGCAGTCTCGTGAACAAGTGGACAACATTCTTGAAAGCAAGACTTGTGTGCTCAGTGATGGATGAAGATGGAACAGAAACGTACTTTGATGAATTAGGTATCGCAAAAAAAAATCCCTTAAAAGTTTTATCTAAATGTTACACTCTGTGCATATTTAATTATTGATGTTCATACAGTTTCTTAGTCCAGTTGTTTACAGTGAAATCTTGGCTCTAGAAATCCATGGTGCAAGTTCCCTTGCAGTTTTATGACAGGAAATTAAAAAATTCTTCATAAGTCTCTCTGCGTAAGTGTCATTACCTTTGAAATAAAGGTAATTAATCTTGAATTTGTAAAGGAATTATATATATAAAGAATTAATATTTGGAAGGGAACATTTAAGTTAATCTGTTACTATTTTACTATTAGTTAGGATTACTATAGAGATTTTTTAAAATCTGTTTGAAACTGTTTCTTATACCACTGTTTAACACACAGCTTTTCCACAATACAGTTTTTCTATTTTTTGATCACAGGGTAGAGGCCTCAATTTGGTAGTTCAAGATAATAATAATAATTCCCCTTACTGGCATCAGCAGTAATACAATGAATAGATATAATTTCTCAGGAATCATTCAGTCACATAGATTTTTGTTTCAACATGTGAAACACTGTAAATATTCAGTGCATAATCTATACAGCAATCACAAGAGGGTTCCTTTCATTAAGGAATTAATAGATGCATATCTTGATACCTAATTACCAAATTACATTATCAGAAGGTTTCAAATTCTGTGTTGCCCACTGAAGTGTGCAGCTGAAGTGTGCAGTACCATAGTTATAAATTCAGGTATTGGAAGATTTGTTATGTGCATTAGTAGAAATATAAATAATGTAAATGGCTAATGGGCCCTGCACTGGGTCTGCATCTGGTTCTGATCTTCTCTCCACTGTATCCTCCCACTGTTTTCTCGATTGTTATTCCTGATTCTCATAATAGTAAATTGGGTTCAGAGTCTTTTTGAGTTTATATATTTACAACTCTTTGGTGTACTTGTTCAAGGTTTCAATGGAACCTGGGCCTAAGAGCAGATCCTAACTTGCTCTGACTCAGAATGTGCAAGGTGCTTGGAGGACTGATTTTCTGAAGTGCACAGTGCCTCAGCACTGCCACAGCAACTTGCCTTTCAGAACTGTGATTTACCAACCCCCTCCTCTCCACAATGCAGTAGGATAACTGCTTTTAGGGGTTTTTGTGTGACAAAATGTAGGACCATAGTGAATAGGATACAATGTTCTCAGCGTGGGCTCCTAGCACAATTCCCTAGCAAAGAGGAAGAATACAATCACAGCTGGAAATACGGAAAAATGGGAGAGAGCAAACACATGCTTCTGTATTCATGTATAATGCAGGAGAGCATAACACTTCCAGTTCTGCATGGTGAAGTCTTTTGCTTTTGACATATTGAAAAGAATATTTAAAAAATTCAGAGGGTAAAGTGAAGGAGCCACATAAATTTATGGAACATATTCTGTGATAAAAAGCTCAAACAGTTCAGTAGTTTTTGTGTTGTAAATTAAGAGGTAGCATGATTATAGTTATTAAAAACATTTGAAAGGAGAAACTGTCAGGAATTAAAGTAGTTTTCATTGAAGCGTAAAAAAAGAATCAATAGATCAGAGGTAACAGTGGGCAAATTCAGTTCAGTGAGTAGGTACAGTTTTGCACAGTGCAGTCAATAAATCCCAACACAAAGGAGCTGGGAGGTTTACATCTCTCAATATCTTCACTGCTAAGCTGTGTGTCATTCATATCATGTTGAGAATGAGCTTGTGAGGGCACTAGAGTACGTTCTGGATGATAAAACACCTAATTTCCCTGGTTTTGATTACATCCATCTATGGGAACTCTTTGTCTTTAACTTACTGCAACTTTAATGTTTGCCTACTGTTAAACAACCTGCTGAAACAAGATCCAGCTGAGAGAAATGTGTGACATGGATCCTGAACATATTTGAAAATTCTTTGCCTTCTGTCTCCATAAGGCTAGATGGTGTGGAGTTAATTTCCAAATCTGTTTCTGAATGTTCAAATGCTAGATTTATGCATATATGGTCTGTTGATATGGTATAAGTCTGCTTTTTGCTGTTCAAGTCTGAGACAAAATTGCCATTGACTTTAGCAGGAATGAAATAATAAGTTAAACTAGAAAGTAAAGAGTTTTATTAGTATTCAAAACATTTTTCTTTTTCCTTTTCTTTCTTTCAGAGGATGTGTTTCTTTTAGAGACAGATAACCCCAGAACAACGCTTGTGTATGGAATTTTTACAACATCAAGGTAAATGGGGAGGTTTGAAAAAAATTACCTTTCTGAACTGCCTGATTTTCTGTATGAAAACCCAAGTTGATCTTTGTGGACCAGGCTGTACTGTGCAATTTTGTATGTCTGCTGCAGCTATTGTTTGCATGCAGGAGTAAGAGTCTCAGTACCATTACTGTTGGTATCCATGTTAGAGCTATGCTTCTTGGAGCAAACTGCTTCCTGACATACTGTCAGCTGGCACGGGGAAAACATTTCCATGGAGGGCCACTTGTTACTGCTCAGCAGCAGAAAGCTAAATGACTTCAGCACAGTGAACTTATGTGGCATCTGAGAGCACTTAACACCTCCTGAAGAACATCCAGCACCGGGAAAGATCAAACCAAGAATTCTTACATGAATTCATACAAATCATTTCCAGTCTCTCAGCTGGCAGATGATCATACAGATGGCAAATAATCCATATCGGCTTCAGCTGGCTACAAAAGGACAAGCTATGGCATTTGATCACCTCCTTGTAGCCCTAAGCTCCCTGTTACCAGTCAGTATTCACTTACTGTCCAGTTTAAAAAGCATTTAGTGAGCTCCCAAGGGTGGTGGAAGCGCTAGATATGGCTTACTGTGCTGAAACTCTCCACAAAGATAGACTGACAGGTGCACCCACAGATTCTTCCATTTTTTTCATTTTCCTTCTTGCCCTCACCATATAGTGTTAGTATAGAGTAGAAATAGTTACTGCTTACTGATTTCTGATATGTTATCCTATACTTCCTATTACTATCCTGTTACTTCTTACTTTCAAAGAGGTTTTCTGCTTTTTTATTTTTATTTAATTTATTTGATCAAATTAGCAAATTACGTAACTTGGTATCAATAATTCCTTTAATGGCAATTTCTAGTAAAAAAAAATCCTTTCATAATTTTTTTCCCCCAATAGAATTTTTTTCATGAGCATCCAGGGATCTGCTTTCTTAAATATGTAAATGACACAGGAGAATATGATTTTATGATATTTAATTGGAAAAAAACCCCATCACGTAACTAGTAAACATTTGGTTCTATCTACTATTTATGATTCCTACTTCACAAAAAGAGAAAATTATGAGGTTATGTTTAGCAGTAAAACCACACTTATGATTAGGTTGTGGATGCAACATGACTGAACTGGAAACACTTCTACCCAAATCTTCTGGTATTTCTGCAGTGGAAATGAGGTTTGAATCACAGGACCATATAAGGTGACAACAAAGAGAAAACTTCATTTTTTCCTGGCTCTCAAGCTATTTTCTCTCTCTGTTGAAGTTTTTACACACATGCATTTCTGTTTCCGTGAACCACATGGTTTCTGCCTTCTTTCTTTTTGTTCAATTATTGAAAGTATTACCTAGTTAAACGCAGCAGCCATAAGGATTTTTACTCCTTAACAGTTCCTGTATCTTCACCTCTGTAGACTTCCAGCTCATAACAGTAGCAAGATAGAAACATCACAGATACCTAATAACTAGTAGTATTTTTGTCTAGGTCATACAGAAGGAAACCAAGTAATATTAAAGCAAATTATTTTACTGTCAAAATATACTGTAAAGCTAACATAAAACATCTGGAAAGACTAAATAAATTTCTCAAAATCTATTAATACATAGTAAAATTTCCACAAATACCATAATCCATCTAAAAGGCTCCTTCTACTAATCCAACTGAGAGCAATATGGATTTCACTTTCCTCGTTTAGACACTATGTGTAATGTGTTCAGGTTTTTTTTCTGGAGCGTTTTTTTCTTCTTCAGTTGAAAATAATTACTTGGATTTTCTTCATCCTACAGTTAACATCAGACAGATTTTGGACTGCCTGGAGTTTCCACTTTTTAAAGATAAATATCACAAACCTTGCATGCAGTGAGAGAAAAAACGAGGGAGTTAATTTACTGTAGTCAGTCCTAGCATCAGTCTGGAAATTATTCCCCTAATGCCCTCCATCATCACGGGGTGATGGAGACCATTCAGGGCTTGTGCTAACTGAACCCATGGCTAAGCCCAGAGCAGGGACTCCCTGGGTTCTCCTCGGGAAGCATCAAACTTGGGTCTTTGTAAGACTAGTTTTGGGGGTGGACTTGTGGACTGTATAAGAGTAATTCCTTTACAGCCACAGTATGACCCCATTTTGCTTAGAAAAGCTGGCAACTGATTGTAATTATCCAACCAATTGTAATTTCTCTGGATATTTTGATTAATATTTTAGCCTTGTATTTTAGGAGGCTCGTGGAGGTCTTGTGGTTAATATACTGGTAGGGAGTTCTGGCAACCTGTGCTGAGCTTGGCAGTACAAAGTTTATAAAACTCTTGTCTCACTAAAGTCAGCAATATTTTTGCCATTGATTTAACTAGAGCCAGATTATTTTTTTTTTTATATTCAGCATTAAGAAGTGTTCTTATTGCACCAGTAAGTTAGTGCCTTCCTCCCTCTTTTTTCAGTTCACTGTTCAAAAAGGTGCTAAGTCTTAAGAAGTAGTGGTGCATATTGAGCAGCTAGATTAGTTGATTTTAAATGTATTAAATCCATGCTATAGAAGGATTAAATTGTATCAAATATATTATTTTAGAGGTATCTTTCATCACTGGACCATGCAAAATGATGGAAAAGCTATAAAAAAGTTGGTAGATTGCAGTGCTAACTTTTTCCTGCTGTCTTCCAGCTCCATATTTAAAGGCTCAGCCGTGTGTGTGTATCATCTGTCTGACATCCAGACTGTGTTCAATGGGCCATTTGCACACAAGGAGGGCCCAAACCACCAGCTGATTCCATATCAGGGCAGAATTCCGTACCCACGACCTGGCACCGTAAGTACAGAGATGTTTATGCAGGCTTGCCAATTGCTTGTCTTTGTTTAATACATAAATAAATACTATTTATTCCAGGAGGAAGGACTGTATGTGACTGTGACAGTTCAAAACTCTTTTATTTGCTTCTCGGTTGTCATACAAATCATGTAGTATCTGGAAATCCTCTAGAAAGAATTAAAAGTCGTGTAAAATGTTAATCAGTCTTTCTGTTGAAAGAATTATTTCATTACGTGACAATCATCTTGTTTACATATCCACTTCCATTTTATGGGTATATTTGAGCAAAATGTAGCTAAATAAATAAGCGTACAAAGCCAGCATTTTGAGTGTGTTCTACAATCTGGATCCAAATGTCTGTAAGTCTGTCTTCAGTCTGTATGAATTTTCCATAGTTCTCTAAAGATTTGCAGCTCTACTCAGATGCTTAGGAGATATAGTAGGAGATTTAGAGGAGAATAAGGTTTCTGGGAGTTGTCATTTGGTTAGGTCTAGTACCCTATCAGGTACTGAATCTTAGAAGAGGGTCCTAGAAATAGATGTGTTTTCATGCCAATCAGTTCACAGTAGCCTTCCTTGTTAAGAATGCTTTTTGTAGGCCTTGAAAATTTTTCAGGACTTTCTTTCACTGTGTTAGGGGTAGTAATAATCTTCCAGTAAATTCTGTACACTATTAGAACTAGCTCTGTTTCCAAGTTGTGCAAAAATATCTCATTAAATATTTGAAACAAAACTATTGTTTTTTCTTACTTTTCAACTTCATGGTGCATAAAAATAGCTGTTAATGCACTTCTTTATTTATTTGTTTACTTACTTTTTCCACTATTCTTAATTTAGATTTAGCAGAAATATGATATCTAATATTTCCAGCCTTAATGAAGAATGTATGAACTTCCTCTAGAATCTTCCCTAAACCCGTATTTGCTAAATGAAGTATAGTAGTGTGGATGTGTGTTGACTCCTATGAAGTCTTAAAATTTCTTAAGTATCAGAAGGAAATAAGTATGAAGAGAATAATAAATTGTTTCTCAACAATGTAGTTATATTTTTTTTAGATTAAAATTTTGTTGCTTTTCCATTTATCACAGGAAATGAAATTTTGTTTTAATTTTGCCAGTCCCTGTAAGAACCTTTAACCATACCGCTGTTTTATTCTGATTTGTCTTTCTGCTGCAAGATCTTATTTTTTTCTCTCTTTCTCTCTTGTACAAAGAATAGCTCAGATACATGGAAGAGCTCTCCCTATTCACATAGTTCTTCATGACATTTTAGTGTGATTATTATGGGCTATAAGAGTTAGGTTCCCAGATCTCTAGAATTACCTAATCAATACTTGACATTCCACTAAGGTCTAATGCTAGCATTAGTCTTTCTTTGCAATTAATACATACGGCTCTAATCTCATGAGTCCACTGCAGCTTTATACTTAAACTTTACCAAAAAAAAAAAATTGATCCATTTAAACCAGAAGTTTCATTCTCTTGTCATTAGTCACATTTCAAGGTTTCTTGCTGCTTCAGAGTATTGTGTTTGTATGCATTTCCTTAACCACTGCCGTGTTATTCTTGGTTCACCTCATGGAGGCTTATGTGGTATTCCAGATGGGCCTGAAGAAATTGGGCAGCACAATGGAAAGGGATAAAAAAATTAGATTTGGATTTAATATGGTGACAGAAATTGTCTAAATTTTTGAGATGTGCTGAAGAGCTCTGAATTTGAAGATGAATTCTTAGATCATAGCTCACACAAAAAAACAAAGTCAAAAGAGATTCCTTTAGATGGTCAGTGCTAGTTTACTGATCACTGGCGTTTCTGTGCTACCCTCCAATTCAGCCACAACATATATCTTAAAGGCATACTTTATAAGATGGAATTTGTTTGGCTTTGATTTTATTTCACTGCCCAAAAGTTCCATTTTTCACTTATGTCAAAGCATCTGTGAAAATTAGGATATGGGGATTTTTTGCTGCCCAGAATTTGAGCTCAAAGAGTTAACTTTGATTAGCAGACTAAGGGGTATGATCCTCTTTCCTCTGGAATGTACTTTTCTCTCAACTTCTGGGATGCTGGACTAGACCCGGATGCCTTTTTATATGACATGGAAAATCCTCCTTTACAGTTGCCTGAAGAGATATTCATACTAAACTTCTGGACAGAAATGAATGTTCATCATATTGCAGTACCTTGGATCAACAGTGGAAAGGCTTTTGTGTAGTTTCAGTAGGATTAAATAAAGTAATAGGTTCTTTTGGCCATGATCAGCTCTGCAGTGTTTGGCTGGCCTTCACTAAATACCAATGGTTTCTTGTTTCTCCACAAGCAAAACTTACTTATGGAAAAAAAAAATAACATAATTGGCAGCTTGCTACTAAATTCAGTGATGTTTGAGGATAGTTTCCATTTTTCAGAGTTCACAGAAATAGTTTTTGTACCTACAGCATGTTGGGGGAATATTCTGTAAATTAAAGAATTCTGGTTTTCTCTGCAATCTAACTGCACGGTGATCAACTGTGAACGAAAGATTGTGTAGCCAAGTCCTTGAATGAGGTGTGAAGGACACACGTTCAATCCCTCCAGGAAAGGGAGAGCTTATAGGGTTGTATAGTAACATTTTTTGTTTGTCATTGTTTTATACAGGGGATAGCAAAAGAATTAATTGATTAAAGATGTTTGTTAAGGCTTTGCTCAGAACACTAATATAATGTAAATTTTTAGGGTCATACTGGGGTGAACCATAACACAGACATTTTTGCAGGAAGTCACAGACAAAGGTCTTATGATCACCAAGTCAAGAATGGAAGGATTGAAAGTATCATAGAAAGTCTTTTAACTGAGCTATGTGAGACAGGAAAGTTTAATTTGAACTGCTTATGAAACAGAATCCCTCTTGAGAGGAACTGGGGTCTGGGGTCTGGCAGAGCACTACCAAATAGAATAATCTTGCTAATGATGAACACAGTTCTTTTTTCGGCATTTGTTGCTAATCTTATCAGATAGTCCCATAAATTTTCTGGAAGACTGTGGATGGATATGCCAGGAAGGGGAAGAGTAGAGCAAGCAAGATAATAAGAATTCAACTTTGTGAACAATCTTAGAGGGCTAGCATGTAGTATCAGTTCTAATGAAAGCCAAAAAAAAGCCCTTAGGATAAATAAGGGCCCAGAAAAATCAGTTGTCAAGGATGTCAAATGAGAAAAGCAACCAATATCTGAGCTGAGTTCTGGTTCTTCTTCCTGGAGGTAACTGATGCCAGAGCAATTTCTTTTAAAGAACTCCTACCAGAGCTATTCTACTTCATATGAATAATTAAATCCTAATTGAGCCAGAAGATGATTTTGAAGCCGGGGTTTAGGCTGAAGTCTCCTCTCTACTTGGTTCCTGGTATGCCCAATGAATAGTTTATTAGCTTTTAGCAGCAAGGGTAGAACAGGCACTCCTGCCTGGTGGTTAGAGGAATCCCCTGGGAGGTGAAGACCCAAATTCCAACATTTCATCTCATCAGGTAGGTTGGACACATGATTCATATATCCCCAGAGAGTTTCCAAGTCTCTCAGAATATGATCCATTTTATGTAATTTTAGCCATCTAAAAGCAGGGCATTTAGTCTGAATTACTGACTTCAGAGGAAACCTAAGAATAAATGTCTGACTTAAGGCAGTAGAAGTCAGGTGAGGTAAATCTCTCCCTAAGCTACTGGCTGTTTTGTGTCTGTGGTTTTGACCAGAAATTCCATCCTAGATGTAAGAATGGCCCTCGTCAAAATAAAGAAGTTTCCATCAAGTGCTTTTTATTGAACAAATCAGCATTTTCCAATTGGAAAAATATTGCATTGAAACACTTCTGAATAGCTCCAATACTCTGAGGAGAATTTCACGGCTCAGAAATATGGTAAGGGGGAAAATGAAAACCCAGGGATAGCAATAAGAAGTGAGGTAATGGTAGCTGAAAAAGAATAATGTAAATTAAAATAAGTATATCCAGAACATTGTAGCAGTTACTGGCATAGCCCTGTTTTCTTCCCAGTCTTCTTTTAGTTTCACTCTCAGTAAATAGTTGAGTTTTCTAAGATGCTTTTTATTTTCCTTAGAGGTCCAGAATGCCTTGGGGCTAATTATTTTGATGCTTCTTCATTATACTTAAAGAAGCATCCAGAGTATTCATGGACCTCAGTTATCTCTCAGGCAGAGGGGAAAGTATAAACAATCTTCTGAGAGATAAATGACTTGTTACAGGACCCCCTCATCAACTCCATATTATTGCTTTTTCAAATGAAGATGAGTCACAGGCCCTTTCATCGTCTCCAAATTACAACTGAGTATCAGATTTTGTCTTTTGTCTTTGTACTAATTCTGTAACAAACCAGATGCAAAAGTTTGATATCTTCCCATACCGATCTCTTGGATTTTTTCAATTTTTTTTTTCAACAGGCAGTTTGGAAGCATAAAGTATGTAAAAATATGTTCAGAATTAAAGACCTTAGTCATCAAGCTGTGTCCTGAAAGTGCAAAAATACATTTGTGTTTGTTTTATCAGCATTGATGGGAGTTCAAAGCGTAGCTATTCAACACTTCATTCCCATTACTGGAACATAACAAGTTTTGGTCAGTCTGCAGTGCTCTTTCAGGGACTTCCTTTGTCAACTTATCTGTCAATATTTGGAAATGACTTGGAGATGAATACTCTATGAAAGATGGTTAGTATTGTTAATCATTACATGTTTCTTACAGTGTCCAGGAGGAGCCTTCACACCTAACATGCGGACAACCAAAGAGTTTCCAGACGATGTTGTGACCTTCATTAGGAATCACCCCTTGATGTTTAATCCCATTTACCCAATACACAAGAGGCCGTTAATCATCCGGATAGGAGCCGACTACAAGTATACAAAGATTGCTGTGGATCGAGTGAATGCTGCTGATGGAAGATACCATGTCTTGTTTCTTGGAACAGGTAAGACAAAATTAGCAGCATTCGTTTTCCTCCACTGCAATAAAATTTGTAATCAACTCTGATTTGTACAACTTAGAGCTTTCAGAAATACTTGTTGAAACATTTGCTGTCTACAAAAATGTCTATAGAAATCCATAAATTAAGTTCATTTTACTTTCTGTGCATTTTTATATTTACTATAGACATCAGTTGTGTGCAAGAAATACGTCTTGATGTTAATTTTATTTGAGACAGAAATCAACACTAGTGTATGTTTTATTGGTCCTAACTAATAATAGTTCTCTTGAATATGGTTTGTCTGCAACATGATTCCACATAAGAATTTGATACCCAAATCTAGCTTTCTAATTTTTGTATACTCTCATCATTATTATTTAATATATGCTATGTAAGCTACTTCTGAAGAAAAGCATGATCTGATCAGGATATTGCAAAGGCAGAAAGAGCAACTCAGCCAAAAAAAGAGTAGTAATATGGAAGTACTTAGCAGAGAAAAGGAAACAAATGGTCACAGTCCTAGCTGAAGTGGACACAGTGAATTTGATCCAAGTATTCTAAAATAATTTCTGTCTAATATAACCTACATTTTGTTTCTAGTTACATCAAATTTGAAGCTGGTGTTATGCTTCTGAAGTCTGCAGGGAACAGGTCAAGTGATTCTCGTACTGATCAATTTTGATTTTTTTAAATATTTAGATATGAATCACACTGTTTTGATTGGAGCAGACAAGCAGAGTGGTACTCTTGCTAGATCCTAGGACTCATTCACATCTGAAACTCCCAGTGGCTTAACAGGGCATTGTAGGTTGATAGGCACAAAGGCTAATCTTTTTTACTACAGATGGTTTCAAGTAGAACAAAGGAAAAGAATTCCGGGAGAACAAATCCATGTCTGAACATCAGAAAATGATTACAGAGGTGGCTTGTATTGCTTTTATGGTTCACATATTATTGGAGTCCTGGTTGTTTTCTGTTTGTAGAATAACCATGCCTGCCTACAAATTCGCATGGGGCTGGGAATAACCATCTTGTTATAATAGATTTAGGAAGTGGGTGCTAAAAAATCTCTCAAGAATGTCCCCTCAAGGGACAGGACTAACAGGAAGTTTCTACAGTCTTCTTAGAAAAACCTCCCCAGCTATCAAAATCAGCATGGTCCCTGTGTGCCAAGGGAGCCAACTGCATACTGTGCTGTATGAGTAGAGGTATATCCAGCCAGCAGGTTGATGGAAGGGATTCTTTCCCTTCACATTTTATTATTTTTTTAAATATATAGTGGTGACATTGTTTTAAAATGCTCTATAAACATCTAATGTTATTTGGGGAAACATTCTACTAAACATTAGTGGAAAAGATCAAGACATAAGTTTCCAACTTGCATAGGGTTGTTAATACAGCAGTGATAGTTAAAACTGGAAATGTATTCAAAAGTTGAAATGTGCATGAAATCACAATATTAATTGTTAGCATTTTAATAATTCTGCAAGAGATAAATATAGGTAATTTCATTTTATACTTTGATGACCATCTGACTGTTTTTAGGTGATCAGTGTGGTCTCATACAGACACTTGTGAGACGTTAAAAAAACCCAACATACTTCAGCTTGTTCTTACATTATGTTAATCCTCTTCTGTGTATCAGCACAGGACCCATTATGGATCAGATAAGTAAATTGAAGCTCTTGATACTTTATATTCATTGCTTTATCTTCTTCATTACACTGGAGACAAGGATCATTTTCTGCTTGCTAGTTAGTTGGAGGGGACACATTCTTCTTCCTGAGTAGGGCACAGGACATGAATAGCTTCCAAGGTCTTCCTCAAAAGAAATTGATGCAATGTAAGTTACTGCATTTCTCAGCCCTTTCAAATAAAAGTGATCAGGTTTCAGCCACTGAGAGGAGAAACTTGTTTTCTTTATTCTCTGCTTTCTGTGGGACTCAGGAGGATTTGATAGAGATATTAAGTGTCAAAAGGAATGCAGAGGGGATTTGCTTTGGTGTCGGTTCATCCCAGCAAATGCAAAAACCACATTGTATAGGAGAATTTCATGTGATAATTTTCTTGGGAGCGTGGAGCCTCACAAACAGAGACAATGGGACTTGACACCTGGTGACAATTACACTCAGCTCAGATGATGAGTTACTGCTGCTGAACTGCGATGTTGCCAGCCATGTCTGTCACTGTCAGTGACCTGTCTCATGCTTGAAATCGGAGTGTTTTATGTCTTGCCAGATGCAGAGCACACAAAATGTTTAGCTTTTCCTCTCTTCCTCCTCGATAGCCTTAGTAATAAATCAGTTCCTGAATGTAAGTGAAGAATAACAGAAATATAAAGCTCCGAGAACCCCAGTGGCTTTCATCGTGTAGCTGTGGCACAGGAGGGTATAGGCAGCTCTGTAATTTTTTCACATTAATGTGAACTAATTGTAGTGTTTCCTTTGCTCTCCCAGACAGAAGTGCTGAGCTCACAGGGGCTGAGCCCACAGTTAATACATTGCTTTTCTCCCTTGCTTGCCTATGTAACAAACAAAAATCCCAGGGACAGACATTGCTCTCGTGGCACTCCTATTTTGCCATTGCTTTTCAAAATGAAGACTACCAAAACACTTAACAAAACTTGCTGATTTTGTTAGGTCCAGCCAAAGGGATCTCTTCACTCCCCTCTGGCGTGAGCTGACTTCGAGTAAGGAGCAAGTCTTGACTGGTAGACAGCAGTGCTACAAGAGAAGAGTGCTGTCTACCTTGTCTTCCCAAACAGAAATGCAAGACATAGTTTACTTGGAAAGAATGTAGTCACTCATTTGCATATTTGACAAGGGCAACGCTGATGATATTTTTTCCCTATGAAATGAATAATTACATATTCAATTCAGGAATTTGGGATTAGAGTTATGTTTCTTTTATCCTGTTTCCATGATAGGCCAGGACTCAGTCCTGAATTTTTGGATTCACCCTAGAGTTGTACTGTGATTTCTTTACTCATTTCAGTTTTATCTAAACAACCTGAGCTTTCAATATTCTCTGTTTATCCATTGGTAGATTGTTTTCCATCTGAATTTTAAAACAGCAGTAAAACACCATGAGAACATTTTCATGAGATTAATATTTATTTATTAAGCATGCCACCTACTGCTTGCAGTACGAAAACCTTCGGTCAAAGTACACACAGATTGCACAACTAAAAGATTATGCATGGGGTTTTTTATTGCTCTTGTGTTATGAAAATATTTAAATGTCTGGGTCAAACTTGGGTACATTAAACAGCTGTGGGCACCAATGGGATTTTTTTTCAGCTCCTTGATATCAGGATATGTTTTTGTGGAAAGACATCTAAGTTACTGTTGTAAAAAGGCACTTCAGACTTCGATGTGACTTATTCAGATGATTAATGTCGGCTACATGCATCTGATGTGGTGTGAGGTTGATCAATGCTTCTTATTATCTTTTCTGATGCAACATTTGTTTTCAAAGTCTTGATGCAGCATGTGCCTCCAGAGCATAAGGTTGTAATACTCATTTTCATGGTGTCATATGATGGCTGTCTTTTTGGAAAACTAACCCTTGCTGACAGCGGTAGCCTCCAGTAAGGCAAAAGCCAAAATCATGTAATGATCTACAGAGTCTAATGGAGGGAGATAATCTGGTCAGAAGAGTGAGCTTGCCTCCCATAGTTTTCCTGGCTGCAAATTCGTGACTGTGAGCTTGGAAGATGATGTTGCACAACAGTGGCACAACAGGCATCAGATAGAGTTTCCTTCTTCCTCTTGGTCGTTGTCCCTGAGTCATTCGAAACCTTTTGTTGACCCACTCATCCAAAGCTTTTTCACAGCCTTTTAAGAGGATATGTAAGTTAAGAGGGTGTACCTCCACCTGCTTCATTTCCCCTGTTCAGTTTTTATTCAAACAAGCTCACACTGTGTCCCAAAAGTTTAACCGAGCTGGGGCTGTACGAAAATTTTGCCCTCAAGTGTGAGCATTTGTATCTGTCTTTTTGTCCTTTGATGCAACTTGAATTTTATGAAGCTTCACAGTGGTACTATGAGCTGGAAAAAAATTACACCCATTTGACAGATGAGTGAACTAAGCACAGAGAGATTAGTGTCTGTGGTGGGAGCTCTGAGTTACAGCAGACACCCAAGGACAGCCGAGGCCGTGGGAACGTGGCTGTCAGCCCTGACTGCTAACCTGCCACCATCTCAGGTGCTCTGTTGAGCCTCAGCATTTTCTCAAACAGACAGATATTAAACATTTGGTAAACTTTTTGCTTTCTTTTTTTCTTTGTAATGTTATTTGTGTGCATCAGGTTCAACTCAGATTAGAGACCAAAAATAATTAAGCTGCCATTAGGCTGACAGGTACAACACGGAGAAAAGTTTTTAGAAGGTCTCCAGCAGTGTCAGACACATCAAGGGTGGGGATTACTGCAAGAAGCGTCTCAAACCTCATGTCAAAGTAGACATTGCTGCCCATTGCAGTCATTTTTTTTATGATGTGGAAAATTCAGGTTTCTTTATTTGTTGATTGTTCAGTTTGTGCGTGTGATGTGGCTCAAGGGTAGATGGGTCCTGACTCTCTTTGAGGCTCACATTACTGACAGCTGCAGTGTTCACTTAGGACTGGGGAAACAAAAGCTAGTCAAAATTCAGAGAATGATGTTTAAACTCAGACCTTCAGATTCAGCCAAACACCTCTGTATTTGTAATTTCTGTTCATTGAGCTTTGCTTTCCCCTATTGCCCGTGGTCAACCCTGTTGGGAGTTAGTGTAATCAGGCACAGGCTAACTGGTATTGATGAAGCTTAGCTGATTAACATCACACCTTGCATTTCAAGGAATATTATTATAATTCTGATTATTTTTATTATTATTTGTCTCTTCTGCTTCTTTCCTTAAACAATTTATTGGACTACCTTCCTTCTCCATTTATTTCCCACTCCGCGTACTTTCTACACCATTTTTTCATCTTCACTTTCCTCCCTTACTGTTCCCAGTTTCTTAGTCCTCTCAGAGGGAACGTGATCTCATTATCATTGCCCTTCATGTCAGGCTGGGACATCTGCAGTCATTAGGCAGGTTTGAAATGGAAAATCATTTTGAGTTGCCCTTGTCCTCTTGCTGTCAGCTTGAGGGAGATTCCTTTTTGTTTGTCTGTCTGCCCTTAACTCACAGACTGCTGAGATGATGTGAGGCTGCAAACAGCTCCCAGTGAAAAGTCAGGGAAGTGGTGAGCATAACTCTGCCTCTTCACTTCTAGTGGTGGATTGATATTCTGGAGACCCAGTAGCTTTTTCATGACGGTGTGAAATCATAGCAATGCAGGCCTGTTTTCAAGTGGATTTCTGGAAGGAGCAAGTAAATGGTGAAGGAAACCATCCTGTTAATTTTTATGATTTTTACAGAATTAGCTTATAATTTCATACATTGATCCAAACTTGAAAAAATTTGACTTGTACTTCTTTGATGATCTCTTCTGCCTGATTTACAGTGCAAAAGATTATCTACACTGGGAAACAGCTCAGGCACTGCTACTTTGCATAAATCTCTTGCAGTGCACATTGCTGCAACCCTTCCAACTTTCCCCCTGACCCAGGGAATTTAGTTCACTACCTCACCATTAGCGGAAATAAGCAAATAATATTTCCAACAAAACTCAAATATACCATAAGTTTTCTGACATGAACACGTGTAAGTGACTTGATTTGTTAGCTACCAATTTGTCTTTACGCTGGAGACAGCAGTACTATTGAGAAAGAAATAAGAACGGGGGATTGGGCATAAATATTTGCTTTTTGTTTATTAAGAAAGAGGTTGAGCAACAGGAGAAAAACTATTTTTAGAAGCAATGGGAAGACTACAGCCTATAAGCTATATATTGTTGGAAGTATTTTATTTTTATAAATGTACAGACTATTGGAATCCCTTGCTTTAGATAATTTCATTTAATGAATAGCTTTCTACTGCCTACTTGAATATTTATTTTAATTGTTTTATTAAGTCTTCTTTAAAACAATAGAACATTCCTTTCTGCAAGGATCTGTCCCTCATGGTATAATACTGAATCAAAGCAAATGGTAAAATATTGAATGAATACTTCACTCTGTGTGTTTTGCTGGGGTGTGACAAAAATGTAGATAGGACCCTACTTTACAAATAGGAAAGGTTATTAGGACACAAGGACTTGGCGTCAGGCATTATCAGTATTTTCTGTGCCAATGCCCAGGATAAAATCTCCCCTGAGGTTCTGACTTCAGTTCAGGGCAATGTTTGAGGACTCAAGACAATTTAGGAATTTTAAATGTGTGGCATGTGCTAATGGATCATTGACATAAACCGGTTCTTCAGAGGCTCAGCAGCCTCACATTCCTTTGCAGGTAAGGTCACTGTCAACATGGTTAGTGCCCTGTATGTCAGTTGCAAAAAAACCACAAAAGGCAGTTGCAAAAAACCCACAAAAGGCTGCAGCTCCTTCCTGCACTTCTTATTAAGTGTTTTGTAAGGTAGAGTCTAACGTGAGAGAGAGGGAATTGATAAAAGTGTGCAAAGAGGCAGAGGTGGACTGGACTGGAGCTGTGTATGTTTATGAGTAGGTTTGTCCATTTAGCAGGAGCAGAAATACACACACTGGCTTCTCCTTACCTCAATGAGGGATACATCTGCAGCAGTTTAAATCTTTGGTGGGTCCTGGCAGTTAGTAAATCTCTCTCAGGTTCTCACAGCTTTGCTAATACTGGCACCCAGGCTAGACCACAGCTGTGCTACCACAAGATTTAGTTTCAGTAAGGTTTCTTCAGAAGGAACTGGTTTATCATGCCATTGTATAATGAGAATAAATGTCTCCATAGAAAATTCTCGTGAAAAATTCATGCCTAACATGCCCTGAGCATGTACAATTGATAGCTACATATTTTTAAGTCCTGTCAGCTTTCGGTTTCTCTTTTCCTTCTTTTCTTTAAAGACAAAATACTGCAATGTGCTCTCTGTGTGTGGTCAAGTCAGTAAATATCAATATTCTGGCTTTAAACCTTTTTTTTTTAAATAAAAAAATTAATAGTTGTCGATTATGTTACTATTATTATCATTATCATTATTATCATTAACATTATTATTATCATTAGATGATGATGATGATGATGATGATGATGATGATAATAATGTTTCCTCAGGGGAAATAAGAATATGTAACTTATTTACAGTAATCAACTTGCCCTGCAGCTCTAGCTATGGAAATTAGTCACTGACCTTAAAGCAAAATCAAAATTGCACTTTTTCAGCTTACGTTGTCTGCATTATGAATCATGAAACAGGAAGCTGAAATTTCCTTTCCTTGGTATCAAATTTGTAAAAATACATGTCTTGCCTATATTGTGCTGTACTAATGTTTAACTAACTGCACAGCTCTTATAAAACTTTTGATGGCCAAACAGAATCTATACCATGTGTTCTCATCCCTCAGAATCAATACTGAGCAAATATATTTAATCTACTCAGGCTAATTTCTAGGCCTTTCAGGCAAGAGGAATTCTATGTGCTGTGCTTCTTCCAAGTAAAAATACTTGTCCTTGTGATTATCCCACAGTCTGCCTTTTCTGCCACACCAGAAATACTTCAGAGGCTGTCTCAGCCTTTAAGAGCCTTCACAGATGGACTCCTTCATCTCATATATTTTTTCCACATAACAAATTCGGAAAACTAATCACAAATTTCCCTTTGGTCTCACTCATCACATCTACCCTGCAAAAACACTGTCAGTGCCACATCCTTTCTACTTCTTACTGCTTTGATCTTAGTGGATTTGGGAGGCTTGGAACTGTATTTTGAGAGGGCAGCTATGATATAATAGCTACTATAACTTCACCTTGCTTTTCCTTTTTACCATATGGACAAAATATTAACTCCTAGCAGTATGTAATGATTGATTATTGTTTGAATTTCCTAAGAAAAGGTTTTTATCTTACTGTGTTTAGGTGTAGAAAGAGTTTTTCTTTGGCAGGCTTACCTGTCATGTCATCAGTTATCACAGCATTTTATTATTGAATATGAATATATATTAAATTCTGCGGTAGCTCCTTTTTACCTGTTTATATTGCTGTGTTTTACTGTAAGATCATTAGGATAGATTCTGCCTCTGTCTGTGTGTCTACAGCAACTACTACAGAAGATACTGATTTTGATTGATCTTTTAGTGTAGAATGGTAACATTAATGGTAGTACCGTAACTCCAATCTTACCATGACTTCTTCATGTTCATATATGAGAATAATACGATATATAGTATTCCTATGTAAGGAATCATCTTCTTTTTCTTTCTGACCCCAAACCCTCTAAATTACAGAACATTTCATATCTTTCTCCATGTCATAGTAATTGCTTTGATGGTTTCTTTTTATAATTAATAAAGGTTGATCTCCTTTTTTCTTTCTCTCACTCCTTGGTCTCTCTTCACATGGTTTCACTTGTTCTCATGCTTTCCAGATCAAGGAACCGTACAGAAAGTTGTTGTCCTACCCACGAACTTCTCTGCAAGTGGAGAACTCATTTTAGAAGAGTTGGAAGTTTTTCAGGTTTGGCTTGGTCCTACTTTTACTCTTCCAATGTGTATGTTCACACAAACACTTGTTCTAACAGACTTTGGCAAGGGCAACTGTGATTTGATAAAAGATCAAGTAAATGTGCATACTGCCAGCTTGATAAATACACAAAGAGGAATACAAAATGTCCACTGTTATGAAGGCTGTAGCTAGCTAAAGTCCTTTTCTTCTCCTATATTTCAGTTGCTTATTTTTTATGTTGTTGTACTGGCTAGAAGGATTTTGATAATCACATTTTTACAAGGTCATGTTATAGTAGCTGCCAGAAGGCAACTTTTATCATTGGCATCACGTATTGAGACTGTCACTATTTACAGATGGAATCTAAGACTTCTGTACTTTGATTATCTGATAATCTTCCTGGTTCTGAGCTGCAGAATGGAATCAAATTAGTGTTGTTTTTGCTTAACTTCAGTTCTTCAAAGCCACATGCCTCTGGAGTCAAGAAAGCTATGAGCTGTGAACACAACATAAGCTGAAAAGAAACACAAGAACTACAGGGAGGAATAGGGGAATAGCCTCTGTCAATCACTCTGGCATGTAACAGCTTGTAATAACCTAAAGAAAATGTTCACCCTCATGTTGAAAAATCCCTTTCAAACATTTGAATGGGCTATTCATTAAACAGTAGTCTCAGGGCAAATAGTAGTATGCATCTATAAACTTAGTTAAGGGGTTTGTGATGGTCTATTTCCTTTAGGGAATACAGAAAGGAAAATTTAAGATTTTTTATCTAGGCAGAATTTACAGATTCTTTAAGAAAGAGAATACACTCTGTGTTAACCCTCATAAAGGCACAATTAGTCTTTCTAGGCTTTTGTTGAAGATTTCCCTAGATTACCTAAAATCATACCCTTCACTAAAGTATTGCTAATTCCACATACTGAAACAGAAATTAATATAGCAGGAAGATAGGTGGGCTGAGAGGAATCTTCACCCTAAACCTAGTTTCTGGGCCTCTATGCACAGATCTTTTTATCCTGAACCCTAAAAATCATGATATCAAAGCCCCTGCCATTGCGATCTGTGTGGCAGCGTGGTGGTATTTAGATGAGTCTCGCCAAGAGAGCAGGGATGAGATCACTGGTTGTGTGCTAATAAATATTGAGAGCAGCAAAGCAGTGATTCTCTTCCAGAGTATAAGCAAGGAAAGGAGAATGTGACATTGAATCCAATGTTGCATTTGACCTTGAGTCTCCAGACGGTTCATGAAGTACTACTGCAGCTCTAAACTCCTTCAAACTTATGCCAATTCACAGGATTCCCAGCCAGATTTTCTAGTCCTGACCTCCCTGCTGTGCTGTAGTCAACTGCAATTAATCCTAGCCCAGTGTTATGGCTTTCATTTGTGACTGAGCAAATGCTAAATCTTAAAGAAATGCTGAACATTTTTGTTACCATTAATTTTATCACTTGTTTGGATGAGAATAATGACTTGTATCACTTGCTTAAGGCAAGGAATGTAATAATTTCTTTTCCAGCTCTTTAGCATTTGATTTGGACACAGACACTAACTGACTGCTGTGATGACACACAGTAGTATACAGTACTGTCTCTGGGAAAGAAACATTCAAGAACACACATGCCACTTTAAATATTCTAGTCATTGATAATCTGAATTTGTATATAGGATGATAACCAAACTGTATGTACTATAGGTAATTTACAGGAAAAATATGTCGTATACTTATCTGCATCTTGAGTTACTGTATAATTTTTCTTTATCATCATCATCTAAGAAAAAAAATGGTTTCTTATTACACAGTTAGAGTAATGGCTTCAAAACACATTGTTCCTATATTGCTGAGATAGCACAGATGCAGGTTATTCATAAGTGTACAAAAAACTTGTTGGTGCACATTAGTAATAATAACGTGGTTGAGTTTAATGTCTTGTAAAACAATTAGCAAGACATTAATTGTATATATGTCATTTGTTTAGTTCTGAAAATAGCAAAAAATTAGTAGGAATGAGTGATGCCTTTCCAGGATATGAAAATGTATGCTTTTCTTAGATAGGACTTACGTTTTAGTGCTTTTTAAACTTTAATGTTGGGACAGTATTAAAAAGAGAGCTCTTGACAATCTGGTTTATAACTTTGTCTTTCAGAGTAATTCTCCTATAACAACAATGAAGATTTCATCTAAAAAGGTAAAGAAAAGTGGAATGGCTAATTAGTGCTTATTAACTGAGAAGCAAATTGACTTAAAGATGTTAGGATATCAATTCTTGTGGAGCATACTAAATATAGGCATATTTTCCATAACGAATACAGAAAACTTGACTGACATTTGCAGGAGCTGTTTATATGCCCCAGAGCCACTAAGATAAAATTTCTATTCATTATGTATAATTTCTAAATCATTGAAAGTGTCGACTTTTTGTTGTTTTTTTTGTTTGGCAGTTAAGGAACCAAAAAAAGTACTAAAAGAGGAAATTTGCCCTCCCCTTGTTTTCTGAAAGTCCTAAATACAGATTTTCCCTTTGGAAGTCTGTCTGATCAATGTAAAAAGGCATTGTTGGGGCTGTTGGGTCCATGGTGCAATTGTGCACGTTTGTTTATTAATAATAAAGGATGGCAATAAGAATAACAAAAACAGCTGAGAGGATTTTTGCTGAAATGTTAACCATGCAAACTAAAAAGATGTATTCTATGATTTTGCAAGCAAGATGTTGCTCAATATTTCACGAAGCTACTACTAAGTAAACATTATTCACTAAATTGAATTCAGTGTAATGTTCGACTTGTATGACAAAAAGATCAAAGTAGTTTCAAGGGTTTTGTTCAAAATTAGTTTATATTTTAAGAAAAATTAATTTTTTTGGAGAAAAACAGTAATTTTGGCCCAGATTTTGGTATTAACCTATTCACTTTGAACTTCTTTTGCAAAAGCTCTGATTTATTATGAAAGTTCATTTGGCTTATTTTTCCAGGTATATAAGGCTGTCAGAATCTGGCCCTAAGCCTCAACATAATCTCTTGGTTTTACATCTTGGAAATCTGTGCACTGCAGAATCCAACCAGGAACTCTGCATAATATTTATTGAAGTGACTATGTGTAGTGAAAATACTTAGTTCAAAGGCTGAGCCAGTAATCCTCACTGAATAAGAACCAAGTTCTCAAATCTGAGCAATATTAACTCAGCCTGTCTGCCCAAGAACAGAACAATGACACTCAATGTCCAAAAATCCATTACATTACCGAGTGTTACTAGGTGTTTTCTAGCAGGAAGGTAGAAATATTATAGGCCTGTTCAGCTGGGAGATTTCTGTTGATATTGACTTTATGTGTATTAGTGGCTCCCCTCTTGGTTCTTGAATTAATTCCAAAATTAATCGAAAGGTTTTTTAGGTGTGTTAGCCAAGTCTCGGGTGAAACTCCTCCACATCTGAAAGAAACCTTTCCATTTCCTCCTGCAGCAACAGTTGTACGTGAGCTCAGATGAAGGGGTCACCCAGGTGTCCCTCCATCGCTGCCACATCTACGGGACCGCCTGTGCCGACTGCTGCCTGGCCCGAGATCCCTACTGCGCCTGGGATGGCAACTCCTGCTCCAGGTTTTATCCCACAGGAAAAAGGTGAGCAGTATTAAGCAGCCCTGTGAAATCTGCAAGGAGGGAAGGCTTTTGTTCTGCTGTGTGGCCTGGAGTGTTGTAGTGTGATGGAGAAGTGGGATGTCATTCCTTTCATGAGCATGTACAAACAATACCTTCATACTGATTGTGCTTGGAATTATTCATCACCTAGGATTGCATGCTGTAAGAGTGTATGATAAAGAGCTTGGCTTTTCATATTTAAAGTAATGGACAGAAAAAAAAAAGAAAGGGAAATAAATGGTTCCTAATCATAAATATTAATCCCTCTGTCTCATGCGCACAAAAATCAGTGAAACATTTGTTCCCTTTGTTTAAATTCAGTTGGATGTAATTATGGTAGCCCTGAATACAGCTAAATATCTCTTGGGCTGTCTGAGGAATAAATCCATTAATATTTTTTTGTTCCTCATTTGCTCCTAAGTGAGAAGAATTATTGCCAGAGAACTTCTAGGCAAATGTGATTTCCATGTAATGCCTACAGATTTGGGGTTTTTGACATGAGATTTATTAAAGCAGACAGGGAAAGTGATTTCTCTTTAATTTACAACAGAGCTAATAGTCCATCTCATAATTCTTATGCAAAACAGGAGCCACTTTCCTGCTCCCAGGGGAACCTTTTGAGAGCAGAAGGCTGTAGTGAGTTCTTGTCTTACTAAGATTTCAGTTCACATACAAATAAAGTTACAGAATACACAATGAAGTCTTACTGCAGAGGAGACAAACCTTTCAGATTCATGCACTCTACAGCTACATGAAAGGAAGGTGTAGCCAGGTGGGGGTCAGACTCTCCTCCCAGGTAACAAGTGAGAGGACAAGAGGAAACAGCCTCAAGTTGTGCTGGAGGAGGTTTAGATTGGATATTAGGAAAACTTTATTCACTGAGAGGGTGAAGCATTGGAACAGGCTGCCCAGGGAAGTGGTGGATTCGCTGTCCCTGGAAGCATTCAAAAAACACATAGATGTGGTGCTTAGGGACATGGTTTAATGGTGGACTTGGCAGTGCTGAGTTAATGGTTGGACTCCATGATCTTAGAGGTCTTTTCCAACCCAGATGATTCCATGATTCTATTCTATGGTTCCATGCCAGAGATTTACCTACTGTGTGTCACAGTGCTCACTGTCTGCACCTGAGCTGCATATGCAGAAGGCCACAAATACAGTTACTGGGTTTTACTCCTGTATCCTCATGGCGGGAGACAGGCAAAGCTTGGATCTGCTCCAGTGATCCAAACAGCTGATAACAATGTCATCCCCTGGGATTAAAGACAATTGTTTTTTGTCATTGCAGAGTTTTCTTGACTCATTCCTTATTTGAGAGTACAAAGTAAAGCCCAAACTGGCCATGTAGCAATTGGTAAAGTACATGCAGTTTTTACTGCTTTCGTTCAGCCACAAGTGTGCAAACTGATTGTTTTCTTCCATAGAACAAAGGTCAGAAGATGGGGGGGGAGGAGAGAAAAGAAAAATCCCCAAGTCTCAGACCACACTAAAATAGCTGCTGAAAGGTACAAGGAGCAGTCGGATGTACCCAGCCTCTGCAGTTTCCAGTGGATGCCTTGCCATCCCCATTATATACACCCACCCAGGGGTTATTTCCACTGGGGCTTGCTTTCATGCTGACATTTTGTTTGCAATTTTTATATCAAACCAAAATAAACACCTAAAACTGTCTGGAAGAAAGTCTGTTTTTCATATGTGAAGAAAGTGAGTAGTCCCTTTATCTAACAAGACAGAGTATGAAGGAGAAAACGTTGGTGATTAGAGCCAAATCCTATAGTCTAGACAGTAGTTTCTGCTGCATGCATTTGCTTATTTCCTTCTTTTGACACTTCTGTCTCCTGTGAATTACTGTAGTTCCTCATCCAACATTGATTTATCCCCAAACTCCTGACAGTATTAGCTTAATTTTCTAACCACCACTTTCTTTTTTTTTATAAATATCAAACTGTAAGTTTACATTCTCAGAAGTGCTTAATGCAAATGACATGCCATTTCTGACACTGTGGAGCAGCTCACAGTAGCACAGGAATCCTGACATTTACTCAGAAATTCTCCATTGCCTCTTTTGACTCACATAAATACTTTACAAGGGTTAAAAACCCAAGGCATAGCATGAAATATTTTTGATGGTAAGCATCAAAACTATACTTGGAATGTCAGAAATTACTCCTTTGAAACATTACCTTTCAAATGTTTCCTTTTAAAACAACGCAGTGAAGGATCAGATGACAGAGGATTATAAGCACTATCTCTGGGTGTTTGTGCACTACCTGGAATAATGTGGCCATAGAGGCATCACCCTTCACTCGGTGGTACTGCGGCTCCTGGGGCTTTTTATGGTTTTGGATCCCGTGAGTCCTTAGTGCAATGGTTCGGAATACAGCTGTTACATATCCCAGCAGCATCCAGCTGCAACAACCTATCACCAATATATTTTTCTAGTTGAACTTGATAAATACTGAACTACCTTACGGAATACTTAGCAAAGAAAATAATATATCTTAAGATTAAAAAATTTGTGTACCAGCTTTTCATGCACTGAATTCTGTGAGCTGTGACCTCCTAGCTGAAGAGGACTGAAATGCCAGTATTCCCAGTCCCAGTAAGCTCCCTAGACAATTTGGTACAGAATTATGATTTTGCATCAGTCATCCAGATAATATGATAAAGTCTCCATTTAGAAGTATTCTGATGCTTACTGAGTTCTATTACATTTTGGAAATAGTCGCATCCCTCAAGTAAATATCGGAATGGAATCTTAGCTCTCCACCATTCTGGATGAACACTTCAGTCACTCTGCTGCCAAGGTGGCTACAGGCTCCAAAATTATGGTGCCTGCTAAAACTGGGGAGGGAGCATGCACTATATCATAATTTTCTGCTGGTGCATTAGGTATGAGCACTATGACTCTCCTGCGTCTCATTTTAGGTGCTTGCCTTTATGAAGGGCTCCAGCTGGGGCTTCTGGCTTTGAATGTTAGGTCTTCATGAGTGAACAGATGTCTCTTTCATGTATCACTTCTAATCCTTCCAACTCTATTCCTCCATTGGAAAACTACTTTACCTAACAAAACTACTACTGGTAAACTTCAACAAACTGATTCTTCACTTAAACAGTATCTTCACTGCAGCAAGCCTGCCAAGAGTAAAGCACACTCATAGTAGGTCATGAACTAGCCCTAACAGTTGATCTGGTAAAAAAAAAAATCCAAAATGAAAAGAGTGTTTATTTACAGTGTAGCTATCTTGGAATAACATTTTTTTTTACAAAATACTGCAGGAGGAGTCGCAGGCAAGATGTGAGACATGGAAACCCTCTGACTCAGTGCCGAGGTTTCAACCTGAAAGGTACTATAATTTAGAGATCCCTCATGCTATATAAAGAACCTTTGTGTGATTCATCATAACTCACATTATCTGTATGGTTTACTGGTAAAGCATAATTATTTTCCAAGTCCAAGTTTTGGTTTGGTTTGGTTTCAACATCTTTTCTTCCAGTTGCATGAAACTTGCATATATATGATAAAATGATGAACCATGAAATACATAGTTCATCATACTCAAAATGAGAAGTTGGCCATATATGCCATCAGACCAGGGGCACACATCAGAGAATTATGCTCCTTTCACTTCTGCTTATGATCCTGAATCTCGAAGTACCATCTGGAGACCAATTAATAGACCTGACTGTAAATTTTTTCCTGATTTTTTTTTAATAGAAAAGCAGTGTTTTAAGAATTACCTGTGAAAGGTTCCATTAATAATAATTCTACTGAAATGGTCTCCACGGGGTCTCAGAAGAATGTCCTGGATCAAAAAAGACCACAACAGTCGGTTGGGTGTAGACTCCTCAGCTCAAATGAGTCTTTCCCCACAACTCAGTATTAGGTCATTTATATGAAACTGAGTAACTTGAACAGGTAACTACAAAAGATGACCCCAGCATTAGAATATGCACCTGAGCTCTGAGAGATCTGTATTGAAGCAACTTGAGCTGTGAGTCCTCCCTTGCAGGCATGTGCCATGACCTCCCACCATTGTCTGTCCCAGGGTGGGTGTCTTCTCATTCCATATGGAAAATGTGAGAATGTCAACTCTCTGCCTTCTGGGCTGAGGGGAAACAATGTTACAACCTTGACAGTCTTGTGAAACAGGTTTCTTGTTTTCCAATCACTTTTTTGATGTGGATGTATTTATAGATTTATGTGTTTTAGCAACTTTATAAAGGATGTCTCGGTGGCAGAAGTGGGATATAGCATAGGTAGATGGCAGTTGTTTCCCTGGTGGAAAACAAGATAAAAAGAAACAGCAATTTAGACTATTTCAAAATATAATTAGGGCCATTTATAGCAAAACTACTATGTTTGGGGGAAAAAATGAAATCTATCTACAGGACAAAAGAGCAGAGAGACAGGCAATAGCGAGAAATCTTCCAAGTTCATAGAGAACCATAATGTTGAATCGAAGCCTTTAAACACAGTAGGTTGTGTGCCTTAGACCTCTAAGCATGTATAAACTCAGTATTTTTGGCATATTGTAATTTTTAAATACATCATCAAGAACTAAGGGTATTGTATGATTGCTTTTCAAATGTCTGTTTAATATTGTTATGCTTGTGTTAGCCCTTATGGCCATTAAAGAAATGCATTTGTGCTCTCTCAATCTTTTTCTTAGCATGTATAAGTTGTAGTAGTATAGAGTAAGCAGAACATTAGATATATATTGAATAATTAAACAGACAAAATTGTCTGTCTGTGGTACACCTAGTTCCAGTATACATAAAAGTAATGTTGTGGTACACCTGTGATTCTCCACAGCTACAGACAGGTCAGCCCACAGATAAGTTATTTTGTGGCTTATGGCCTTTGAATGCAAAATATTTCTGCATTATTCTCCTAAAGTTAGAATTGGTTTTGGTACAATATCATAAATGTGCTAAAAAGTTTGAAGGACTAGAACCAGGCAGTCTCCTTCCTTTAGGTAGAATAGATTCCAATTTCACATATCAGCTGATGAAAGTAGCTGAAAAGAATGGGAGATAAAGTCGAGTCTGAGGAAAACCAGTCTTAGGACTGTTCAAAAACAGAGTTTGATTTTAGACATGTAACCTCTAGGTATTTGCACTTCTCATATTATTTGGTGTCCATTGCTCCTTTCTCAAAAAAAAAAATGTATTTCATTTATGAAGCAAGCTTTTAAATCTGGAGGTGTTTTGTTTTCAGGACAAATATTATGGTTTGGGCCAAGCAATAAGCACCTAAAAGTTTCTGTCAGTGACTGCCAATTGTTCATCCATTGAGACTATAAAGGGACACAACAAGTCTAAGCGATGACATATGCTCAGCACTTGCCCAGGTGTTACTGGAGTGCTATAAATCTGTCTTTCTCTCTGTTGCTGGCCTGTCTACATATTCATCACATGTAAGATTGAGAGCCAAGTCCCTTCCTTGTGTTGGAAGAGAAGCAGAGGAGCAAGAGCCCAGCCTGCTGTCTCTCTCTTCCCTGTGATGCTGCTCGCAGCTGGAGTAGCTGGAGGTTTCTTTAGGGCATGCTGCTCTATTTTGGTCATACAACCATATTCCCTCAACTCATTGTGAATGGTGAAGTGTGAAGAAATATATTAAATGCTTCATTCTCCTTCGGAATAGTGGAGAATGAAATAATGTCAGAGAAAAATATCCCTGAGCTCAGCTACCCCATCAGCAAGACTTACCAGGATATAGGTATCCTAATTTCTCGGAACAGACCATGTCACTCTGAAAACATTGGTACTTGGAACTGAATGTGCTTCTTCACATTTCATTTATTTTCTTTGAAATTTTTTTCTCTTAAATTACTTATTATTGGCCAATATCGGAATCAGACATACTTTGTTTTGTCTGTATTGCAAACAGCTACCTGTTTTCTACATTAAATCACCATTCACAATATCCTGACCCATTTTATTTTTTTTTTCTAGCATACAGAAATGCTGCAGAAATAGTTCAGTATGGAGTGAAAAACAACACCACCTTTCTGGAATGCACACCTAAATCTCCTCAGGCTTCTATTAAGTGGCTGCTACAGAAAGACAATGACAGGAGGAAAGAGGTGAGTAATGTGAGCAGTAGCTCTGGGAGGATCCTCAGTCAGCATCACATTCCCTCCCCAGACAAAGGCAGGGGACAGTTTGTGTTTTCACCAGGCAGTGTGGCTACAGTGAAGCTGGAGAACTTGTGTGGATGCAGGACAGTGACCAGCATTGACTCGTATAAGAGCAGACTCTTCAGTATAGCTGGGACTTCATCCTCAGCCCCAGTGGTTTCTATCAGATCAAAACAGCTATCAGAAAATTAAAGAATTTTTCCCTCACACCTTACTAATTGCAAACTGAAGGTTTGCAGCACTCAGAACTTCTTCTTGATCTAAGGAAATAGGCACAAAAGCAATAACTGGCATAAAGTTCAGGAAGAAGTCAGCATGTAGCAGCCCCTCTGTGCTATTGAAGAGATAAAAGGCAAAAGTGGGAGAAATGTGAAAGGTTTCTTTAGCAAGAAACTAGTCCAGGGTAAGAACACGTATTGACAAAAGCATTTCCTCACCATGGTGCAATCACATTTTCCATTACCGCAGTCTCTAAGGCTCTCGAGTTTCAGCACTGCAATATACAGTATTATTGTTTATGGGGAATGTACCTTCCTTAAGTAATTTAAAGGGGAAAAAATCCATTTCAAATCCAAGGCAGTTACTATATGAATAAAAAGAAACATCTTTCAAAAGGAACCATTAAGTAATGTTGTGTCTGTTGATAGGTTATAAATAGTGAAAAGCATTATTCTGCTATCAGGCCATTTTGCAAAAACAGAGGAGACTTAGAAGCCTCTCAGTGAGTTTTCTCACTTACTCTTTGAAGACTCAAGCCATGTGCTGGCAATAGGTGCAGTTCTTTAACCCTTTGCTTCAACAGAACATCTCCCTTTTTTGTTCTTATGTTCAATAACTGACTTAGAATCAATGCAGTTTCAAATAGCAACAGGTAAACTAAAGCAGTCAAAGGGTTAATTACATTTCAAGCCCTCAGATTTCTGGAAATCCTCCGCAATGCCTACAAAATTTTACAATAGAAGAATACTATAATAAGTGAAGCAAGAGTATTATGTATAACGCAAAGTGCAGTAGCTAAATAGAAAAATCATTCACAAAAATACCAGCACCGGTTTTCTTTCATAATGGGTTGAACTAGACATTTTTACTTCACAGCTGATATGCAAAAGGACATCTGCACAGTCATTTATTTTGGATGATAACTCAACAAGCTATGGTAACTTGCTTCTTTCAGCTGATGTGACCGTCTCCTGGGACTGTCCAGAAAGAAAACAGGAGAGTAGAATTGCTTTGGGTTTCCAATGAGCCAAGTCCAAGCTGGGGCCACTGCGATGATAATTTTTATACCAGGCTGTAGCCTCTGAAGAGCAAATAAGAGTTCTTCAGGAGTTAGCCCCAGGAACCTGCTCAAAGTCAAAATATTTAATGAGAAGCCACTTTGTGCTCAATGCCAAATGAACCCCTCCAGTTATGCACCTTTCTTCAGCTGAGTCTCAGCAGCAATCTCTGATGCTGGAAGAGACATTCTCAAGGGTGTAATTCTGGCAAATAAAAGTTCATTTCTTCAACTCTGCTATTTGAACATTATGAAAACATATATATATAAAAATATAGCAACTTTAAGAAAGGAAGTCATGTTTGAAGTGCAACTTACGAAAAGGTCCAATATTATGTTGTTCCATAACATTTCCTAAAAATTCCTTCTGCCTTTCTGCTCTTCAGGTCAAGCTGAATGAGAGGATCATAGCTACTGAGCAAGGACTCCTCATTCGCTCTGTGCAGGACAGTGACCGGGGGCTTTACCACTGCATCGCGACGGAGAACAGCTTCAAGCAGACCTTGGCGAAGATCAACTTCAAGGTGTTGGATTCAGAGATGGTGGCCGTCATGACTGACAAGTGGTCCCCTTGGACCTGGGCCAGCTCAGTGCGAGCGTTGCAGTTCCACCCAAAGGACTTTGTGGGAGCTTTCAGCCACTCCGAGATGCAGATGATTAACCAGTACTGCAAAGACAGCAGACAGCCAAGTCAGCAGAGGGAAGAATCCCAGAAGATGAGAGGTGACTACAGCAAACTGAAGGCCCTCATCAACAGCAGGAAAAGTAGAAATAGAAGGAATCAATTACCTGGATCTTAATTTTATTTTGTAGTAATAGGTATCTTTCTCCTCACTGTAGGGGGCTTATATTTGTCTGTTGAGAACAAATTTGAGCAAATATGATAAAAAAATTAAATGAAAAGCCAACAAGCCTTGGAAAAGATCTCTCTCCCAATGAAATGCAGTGTAACTTATCTAAAGAAAATAACTTAGAGCATTTTCTTTCCAAGATGCTTATTGACACTAGGCTGGGCTCTGTCCTAGACGCAGAAATGGGTATTCATCTTAAACCAGATTCATCTTTAACATCTCAGTATTTAATTACAGCTGAGTAGAAATTTTTACAAAATTAACTTGCACCTCTGGAACTGTACCAACTAGAATGGTGGTGAAAGAATCTGGGGTAAGATGTATGCTCAAAGTAGGATGGTACTAGGATTTCTTGCACTGCATTTAAGAACATGAGTTTCTTCTTGTTTACTGCTCAATATTGGGTTTACAGCTTTCACTCATTGTCCAAATCATGTGAATGCATGCTGATAGGAAGCAACTAAAGTATAGTAGAAATGTTTCATTCATTCAGAGGTCAAATGAAGGAGCAAATAGAAGAAAAACAAAGAATTTATACTTTATCAAAGGAAGCACTGATTATTGTGCATAGTATGAGTTGTAATAAATTAGTGAGTTCTGGAATGTAACTTAAAATATCTCTGCTCATATTGATTTTTATTGATTTATAGGGTGTCCTATAACACTACATAGCTTTATAAGCAGCACAAAGGTACCAAGAGAATGTTCATTATACACAGAATTTTGAAAAACACCTAAGTGACTTAGGTATTTTAGCTATTTTTCAAACAGATTACACTCCAATTTTTTTGCAAAGGACAGAATGTAGGTATACTGTCTAGTGTTTACTCAGAAATAAAAATCATAGATTATTCTGTTCCATGATTAAATTGGAGCTGGTTCTGCAATGTGGAAACAAGTCATAAGTATCTTAGAAAAATTTAAAACATTATTTTTTTCAACTGTTTTCTCAAAGTTGCAAATATTTTAACTAGAATTTTTTAATTAAACCATTCCCATTTTCCAGTCTTTGTACCCTATTTCTTTTCCATTTGATTTTCCCAATTTCTCCCTGCTTTCAGTTCTCTGCTGAAAAACAGATCAGGAAAAGAAAAGAAAAAAAAAGAATGAGGGAAAAATAAAACTGAAAAATGGGTTTGGGTCAAAAACCAAAAGAAATCTTTTGCTTAAGAAGCAGCTGTCAGGTCTAATGAAGTAAGTTTTGTTAAAACATGGGTGAATGTGCATCAAGCCATCCTAAGAAAAACAATCACTTTTTTTTTTGAGCAACACTAATGCCAAAAAACAGGGACAAATCATCAATCATTTTACTATGTAAGAGTGTTCTGGAAGCCACTGTGTCTATTTGAAGCATTAAAAATGTGTGAGTACCTTAGAAAAATTATGATTATTTATGATACTATTCAAAAATACAAACTGATGTTTGGCTCAAGACTGAGCTATGTTAAGTTAAAATTCTAATTCTATTAGAATACTCTAGGAGTAACTCTACAAGGCCTGGGATTTGTGACAAAGATCTGGTAATGGAAGTAACACTGGTATTTACCTGGTATCACTTAGATGTGTCACTTTATCACCACCTGATGCAGAATAGCTGGGAAATGGGCCCTGATCTAACCACTTAAACATTGTCTCTAAATCCCTTTGATGCTGGTGGGAGCCCTTTGAATTTAATTTGTTATTATTGCTTGCATCAAAAAGCATGGCAGTGCCAGCCTGCTCATATATTGCTGTCTAGTTAAGTGCTTTCCTTAATCAAGGCCTAAATGCATATTTCAGCAATATTTAGCTGCTGGTAACTTAAGGACCTTCTTATGGAAATTGTCAGGAAACTTTGACTTCAGCGAGCTTGGATTTGGCTCCAAGACCTGGCAAAGCAGACTCTGGAGAAAAAAAATCAACAAAAACAAAAATAAAAAAACCTGAAATGGGTAAGGAAAAATAAGGGTTCGGTTGGGTTTGGGTTTTTTTGCCAGCTGACTTTCAGTGCAGCACACTGCTTTCTTTTTTTTTTTCCTGAGGATGACTGACTTCTGAAGTGTGTAAGTGACAAACCAAAAATCGAGTGCCATGAAATAGAACTACCTCCTGGAATGACACTAGTGCATATTCTCCGTGTGCTGCCATGCCCTTCCTATTTTCCCAGCAGATTCACTGCAGAGTTAGTGTGATACTAATGTCTATTGTGAGGCTCATAATTGCTTCCAGATGGAATACAGTGATTAATAGGTATTTAAGGGTACAATTTGCCCTGTAAGTGGTTAGGTACAGTGATAGTTTAATAGGCCCCCATTAGGCCTCAGAAATTACAGTTACACTGTTTTCTAATAGAATATTGGCAATAAGGGATTCCATTAAAACAATCAGCATAGCTCAGAGTTTCATATTATTATAAAATAATATTTTTAAAGCTGCTTCATATACCATTATTTTGGTATGACTGTTTAAGGGATTATACTTAAGCTAACATTTTTTCCTGCTGCATGAGAACGTCAGTATATATATATAATAAGCTTCTGTCAGTGCATAACTGGTCCAAGCTCCCATGCTTTAGGAACCTTCCCCATGTATAGAGTAGTCAGGAGCCAGATGCTCAGCTGGTATAAACTAATGTAACTTCCTTGCTGTCCATTTAGCTACTGTGGTTGATACCAGCTGAGGGTTTGCCCTTAAATGTACAGAATAGACAACCTGCAATTTTTATTTGTTTAAAGTAGCCCCTCTACTGTAGGTAACACCAAAACTTAAGACTGTAATATTATTTGTGCTATTTAATACTTCCTATTTTGAGAATTACTAAATAATGTATATAATTTTATTCCTTAAAAAAATACGAAAGCAAAAATGACTTCTAGGCATAACTTCACCAAATGTAAAGATATGTTCTCTGCTAAGAACTTCACCGTGTACTGATATTTTTTTGCTATTTTTATTTGGTGTAGTTTGTAAAGTTTGCTGAAATCTTGACCTAACAGTGTGTTCTTTGCAATTGTTGTTACTGTAGATATGTGTGTTTTATTAAGAAAATCTGGTTTTTAAAAGTGTAGGTATGTGTATAAGTTCCTAGCATGATGAAACTGTCATTACAGTGAATATGCATCATATAGTGTGTAAGAAAGAACAAAATGTAGTTTAACATAGTGCTATTTAATTGAATATCTAAAGTGCTATTTGCCTGACAAAATAAAGTGTGTTGCAACATCTTAAAAATTTTTTGTCTTCCCCCTTATGGATGTGTGTTAAAAATAAGGAAGCTTAGGAAAAAAACAACTGAAAAGCAATCCCTTAGACTTTCTAAACAAGAAAATACTTGTAGCATCAGGTATTGATCAGTTTTGAGCCCTGTTGTGGGCTGAATACTCAGTCACAGAGATATCAAGGAACTCATGAGGAGTCAGAAGTTAATTCTTTCCGAAATTATCCTTATAAACACCTTGCGTATAAGCAGATTAACTTTTATTCATTGAAAAAAAAAAGAGAAGAAAAAATTGGTATAAAGTCAGTCAGAAATGTCTGACAAAAAAAGGGGAGTTAAGTGTAAATGCTTTCTACTTTTATTACACTAAAAAAAAGAAAAAGAAAGAAAAAAGCACACACAAAAAAAATCCCAAAAAAACCAAAAAGCAAAACACCAGCCCCCCCCCCCCCCCAAAAAAAAACAACCCCCCAAAAAACCCAACAAAACCCAAGCACATTCTATGAAATCCTCCTGCTTTCAGCTGAGGCTCCTGGCCTTCTCCAGGCACCACTGCAGGGAATAAGGGCTGCTGAGGCTGTGCCACAGGGAGTCACAGCTCTCTCCCATTTCCTGGTGGGTACTTGGAGTGAAATAACTTGCCTGACACCTACAGATGCTCCTTTTTCCTGTGTTTATCATCCAAGCAATGTTATTGCTGCTCTTCTTACTGTCTGTTTTTCCAGATGGGTTTTAACAAGAAAGCATGGGGCCTCCTCAGTTCTTTGGGATAATAATTAAAAATTAAATGTCACAAATACTGACCTTAACAACAAGGTTCTGGATCATTAAACCTGGATTTGGATTTCCCAGATAGGTTGCTGCAAGGCTTTATGAGGTGTGAGTGGATAAGATTACCTTACTCCAGGATTTTCATGCTGGCTGGTTCCTAGATGTGCTGATATGGGATAGTTACCTGCTTGGCACTCAGACCAGTTTGGGTCGGAAGCTGACAAGCACTCCCACGTGCTATGGACTAGTCTCCAAAAAAGATGCACATTTACAGAGTTTTATGCTCTGAGAAACCTTTCTTAGGTCTGGTCCTCTGTCCATCCTCCTCAGCTGTCTTTTGCTGGTCTTCTCCCTGTACTCTTCTTTGCCCCCTTCTGCAGGGTTCAACACTTAAGGTTTTGATTCCTTAGCTCTAAGCAGTGGCAAAACAAGACATGGGACTTCTCTGGACATCAGATACGAGATGTTCAAGTGTCTTTCTAAGGTTTCCCTTTGAGTAAAAGCAGTATGCAAAACTCACTTCCTCACGGGACAGAGCAGTGCCGAGCACAACCTCCTCTAGGTGGCCAGAGAAGCCCAGAGGGGACTGCCTCCTAATGCTACCAGATGATTGTTGCCTCTGGAATTAATTCTTGCCTCCAGAATTAAGTCAGCAGATGTAATTCTGTGAAGCAGGCCATAAAAGGCAGGTTGTGGCACTGTGGCTTTTGCCTGAAGCAATGGACTAGATCTCAGGAGACCAATGCTTCTTTATCCTTTGCACTGCAACTTTGCCAAGCCCTTCTCTGCACCCAAGGGTGGTCTGGGGAGAAGTGACTTCATGTGCTCTAAGCCCAAATGTACTACACACAGATACTCACCAGCAGGTCCCAGACACACATGCATACATACAGCTACCTGCATCCAGAGAAGCTTTTCTTTCCATACAGTATTAACCTTTCTTTAACATTAATATATGTACTTTTTCTGTTCCCACATGGGCAGAATCAGACCTCACAGTCCCAAGACATCAATAGCTTATAGGTATAGCTATTACCATCTCTGAGAGCATTTTAAAAGACAAGTAATTGGTCAACAAAAGCCCTTTCTTTATTCACTCTCCTTTCTAACTTACCTTGTTCTGTACTATCTCAACAAGAATTTCCTTTTAGCATCAGGAGACTAAGACAGTGTAAGACATAAAAACATGCTGTCATTTAATATGTCTAATCTAAACTAAAGACTGAGATTTAAAGGTGCTTTGGCATTCTGAACACTCCAAGAAGCAAATTCAACCCAGCTGGCTCAGCAGTCAACAAATAATTACTTTACAGTGATAGACTGTGCAGTATCCCAGGACTCATTACTGGATTCCACATACAGCTTTACAAAGCAAACAGCGTTTGTGTATTCTTAGCACTCTATCAGCTTCATTATTCCTCATTTGAATGCCTTGTAAGTGAACAGCCTTATATGCCAGCCTTATAAACAAACCCCAATGTTTGCTGAACTCCACATTCAAGACAGTTTAGGCCAAGGGATTTCCACATGTCCAACATTTTACAGAGCCTTACGTTTTTTCCAAAGGATTTTAGAAAAAAAACACAGATAAAAAAATGGCCAGTATTGTTGTCTGTGGGAAATGAGAGTCAATAAAAAGACTGTTTTCTAGCTGAGCAACTTATACAGCAACATGCAGCATGGGGAAGGAGTAAGAAAAATGCATTTGCTTAACCTTAGGTTCACAACTCTTTTGGATACTTGCTGTTCCTTGGCTCTTTGCAGTAGTTCTTTTTCCAGTATCTGCTCTCCCTGTCTCCCTTTCAAAGGCCGCTGAGAGTCATAGGGTTTATACTTGTTTTCAAACTGATAACTTAGGACATGATGTCCACAGCATCTCTTCAGGTCTTTTGTCTAATAAGACCTCAGCAAAAATAGTATTACATACAGTTCTGCCTATGATACCTGCCCAAATAATTTCTTCAGTTGATAGGATATTTGGAAAAAAACCTTACAGTATTTGTAAGACTTCGCTCAGAATAACACAGAGAGAAGAACAGGATCCCAGAAAAAAACACAGCCATGGAACATGCCATGGTCATATGAACACTGTGAACATTTACTCAATTCTACGTGTTTTTATATGATAGAAAAATATTATTCTTATATCAGCCTTGAAAGCCCAATTTTCCCATAGGTCAAAGCTCACCAAGACTAATGTCCTTTCACAGCTCACAATGAGGATCCAGTTGAGCCCTTTCAAGAGTTTTTATGCCCCTCTTAATTTTTGTTAACAATTCAACCATCTCTTCCTGCAAAAGCCCTTCTTCTTATAGGGTTCTACTACTCCTTCTCTGTATGGACTCTTCTTTATTTCTTTTCCTTTCCTCAGCTGAACTCAGGCTAGTAGTCCCATAAGGGTTACTTTAATTTAACTGTTGTCATTATAACCCCTTTTCACATCAATGCTCTGAAATATATTACCTATTATAAACTTCAAAAGATGCTGCACTTTATTTGCTTCATCAAGCTTCTCTGCTTTGTAGTTTCAGTTAGCAAACAATATAAAAAGTACCTTCAAGGTGTTTGTAGCCTTTGAGCTTAAGAACAAGGATCAGAACAAGACTACTAAGTTGTATGTATATGTTCACACTCAAAAAGCATATATGTAATATTGTGTTCTCTTTTTTTCAGCTCTACATTCATGTTGCAGACTATTCTTTATTTCAAGCCTGACACTACAAGTACCCTAGCTAAAAGATTTTGTTTTGGGGAACTTGAGATAAAGTAAAGGATAAGAAAGAAAAAATATCAATAGATTATGTCATACAGATCCATTTGTCAGATTACCAGTCACAAATACATTTAGTTAAATTACCTGTAGGAAAAATTATTTTGTAACTCAGGTCAATAATGAAAGTAATTCTTTCAAGCTATTCAAAACAATGAGCACAAAAATTGTTCCTCAGGCTCTTTTCTTTGGAGGGAAAGATTAAATGGCTTTGCCACAGAAAAGAAAGATCACCTTTATTATCATAGCAACAAATCCAGGTGCCTCCTTTGCATATGTGTGACAAAAAGGAGCTCACAAAAAGGAATTCACAAGTTTTATTCCCTTCGCATGTTTCCTAAAGGTCAGAAAGATTTATGATATT